GCCAATGACTTTCTTTTCTGCAGTACCCTTTCCCAGCTCCCCCCCCACTATTTTCAAAGCATCCCATTCTGATACACCCCCACATCAAGCCAGTCTCCAAATCACCTATTTTTTTAGGGGAATGTAGTCATGAATTAAGGACAAACAATCTTTCAGGGGTGTTGCTAAAAGCCAGCTGCCGGCTACTTTCACCGGCTGAAAAGCACTCACTACCAGCTCAAATTGCAAATGAAAACAAAGACGTAGGGGAATTTTAGAGATGCAGTTGAGTAAAAAAGCCAGCCTGCTTTCAGGCTTGTCACAAAGTTTTGAATTAGATGGCTGAGTTGTCAGAGGAAGCGGCCAGTCCAGGGATATTTTATTTTAAAAATGCAATCCCTAAAGAAATGCCAAGCAGAGTAGCTGGTCAATACTAACCAAGTAGGCAGCAATTTTCGCCAGCAGCTGGCTACTTTTGATAACCCTGCTGCTTTTATTTTCCTTAGCTACACCTCTGCTTTATTATAAAGCTTTATCTTTTTTTGCCTTGATAAATCCTTTATTGGCCAAACTTGTTCTGTCAAGATTGCTGGATGTTGGCCTCATTCCTAGCGGGAAAGCTGCACAAAAAGACAGTTCCTTGTTCTTAATCGCAGATGGCGTGACATAACACTGAAGATTGAAAAGACTGAACATTATGCCAACACCGCAGCACGATACATAACCAACAATAGTTTCCACAATACCAAGAAAAACTCACAAAAAGCTGCCAGAAACCATAACATGAAACTGTAAGATTAATCAAAAACAATTTTAAAATTTGGGAAAATTCAAATACATTTATTATGCCAGAGATTTGGTGACCGGTACAGATTAGTGCTGTGTGTGAGATCCGGAAAATGTGGGAGAATTAGCACAAATTTATAGGAAAATTCCTTTTAAATGTTTCTTTTTATTAACAAATGAAAGTAACAAACATACCTAAAAGTAGTTGTTCAGACACCACTTTGCTGGGACAGTTAATATATCAACAGACTTGAAAGTTTAGACTCCTTTACAAGTCAACAATTTTTTCAACAATAATGTTAACACTACCTGCCCAAACTTAAGTGATCAATATCGCGGAAAACTGTAGATATTTCATCTTTGTAAATAGTTGATCTTAAAAAATAATCTTGTAAACTTGCACTGACTGCCAACACTTCAATTTGAAGAGGGTTCAAATCAAAAATTAAAAACATTGCTAAAATATAGTACTGAAAGGCAAGTTATAAAATCCAAAAGCTCTGCCATGTCCATAGGATTTTTTTCCACAGAAGACGAAAGTGAGAAATATTGTCCATCAATATAATTATCATGTCCCGGTGACTGTTATTACAAAAGGTAATCTGTTTAGTACAGAATAGTGGCGGCTGTTTATTTTTGTTCTTCTGTTATTTTTAATTTTTAATTTTTTGCAGCACTGTGTGCAACACAAGATTGCTTATAGTCCCATTCTCATTCGCCTGGATTGTGGAGCAACACCGAGCCAGCCATTTGGCCGATGGGAGATTCACGGTTTAGGATTGATCGGTTTGTACAAGAGTGACTGGGACAAAGCAGGTGGAATGAACATTGAGGAATTCAAGGATAAATGGGGTGGGGAGGACTGGGAACTGAGTGATCGCATTTTGGAGGCTGGCATGGAGATAGAGAGACTAAAAATGATGCACTTTTTTCATTACTTCCATTCAAAAAAGGGCATGTGGAACACCATGAATGATCAACTTAAGTCCAGGAAGACTCTAGTATGACATAATCATTTTTGGAAATAGTGTATTTGGTCATATGTGCATCATTTCAGGAATAACTTTGTAGCTGAGTTCAAAGATTATTCGTACGCATGCTAAAGAAAGATCTTTGCCCTTTTCAGCAAAACCAAAGAAGATAGCAATGATTTTTTAGTGATGTCTGCTGTTTAGGGAACATATTCATCAAAACAGTCATGATTCTCTCTCTAAACAGACACCTTCATGAGAAGTTATAGACACTCCTTAAAACACATGCCTAAAGTTGCTGCCTATTGTTTTTTAGTCTTATTGCTATTCCCAAACTCCCAATGGTATAGAAATAATAATGATAATAAAAATGATAACAATGAATGATAATTCAAATAATTATGATAATAATAATAACAGGACCGGCGGAGCAGTTTTTGAAGTGCGGGGGCCGGTGACCACTCCTTTTGAAGTGGAGGAAGGGAGGGGGGGGGGGGAGCGGGGTAGGGGAAAATTCGGCTGTTCTCTCTTTGTGGTAGCCTGAATTTCATCCGATTACTTCGAATGAATTTCGGATGAATTCGGATGAATTTCAGGCTATCTTTGTGGCTGTTAAGAACTGTCAGATTACTGAACCTTTCTTTAGTCATTGTTGAGCAGAGTCATGTTTATAAATTTTAAGCCGCTGAAAAGTACCTTTCTCCTGCTAAGCCCGATTGCACATGCAGGATCTACCAGTAGAAGTTTGCACTGTAGGTTCCTGTAACCACTTCACTTTGTTCAGTATGTCATCGAAATGCATCAGAGACCACATCATCAGCCGATATGGTTCGTTTTAAGAAACCGTAGTTCGTGGAGTAGTCTTCAGATATAATCGAGAACCTTCATCAAAACAAAAAAGACTCCATTCCGCATCTTTGCAAATGCTACATAGCCTGGCTGGTTTGAAAATGCAAGGAAAACTGATGGAATCGAAACGGGCCAATAATACTGAATTTAGATGCTGGAAGATTCTTATTCCAACAAAGAAACTATTTATATGAAAATGTATATTACAGTGGAACCTCTATAACGAAGTCCTCAGTCTAACAAACTATTTTTTTTTTGTTTCCAGTGATAGTAAAATTTAAGGCAATATGTAAAAGAACCTCGATATAAGTTTAAAAACACCTCGTTATAACGAACATATTTTGCCAGTTCCTCCGAGGTCCCACTGTACTTAATTTAATTTATTTTTCAAAAAGTGTTTTACTGGGAACTTGCCACTCCCCAGCCCACTTCATCCGGGACCCGAGTGGCGGGCCCCGAATAACAATGACGTTGTTTTTGTTGTTGATTTGAAGTTTTGTTGTGAAACATAAAATGATCCTGTTTAAGTAAATGTCCTTTAAAAGACTGCAAACAGGTGCAATTGCATGCTTCCACAGCAAATAACTGATATTTGAAGTTTTGTCAAACCAGGTCCCTTAAAAGACTGCAAACAGGTGCAATTGCAACAACAACTCTATTTAATGAATTTATTATTCAAAAGTTGAATCCGTTGCTAGTTGTAAATTTCAGATGGATCTCTGCATTCCTGCATGTGTAATGAGCCGTGAAATCGCACGCGAGGCAATTATGAAATTTCTACCGGCTCCGTTTCCCTGAATTTGATGTAAATGTCTTCTAAGAAGCTTAATCCATTCAAAGATTTTCAATCTGACCAAATACAGAGAAGTTCTCGTAAAATATTCACTGCTCATTACGCGTGCAGAAATGCCAATTTGAATTTGACACCAGTTACGGGAACGACTAACGGATTCATTTTTCAAATAATCAATTCATTAATAGAATCTTGGGGGGGGCGGGGGAACGTTTGACTTGCTTTGACTGTAAATAAAACTTCCTCTTGACTACAGTATTTATAAATTACCGTTTATCAGTGCACTTTCCACCTGCAAGTAGCTAGGTGGGCTGTTCAAGGTGGACGTTAAACAAGAGTGACCAACATCAATTTTCTCCTAACAATATCCATACATCATCAAGAGAAAAGGTTAGGAGAATTCATAAAATGATCTCTGAAGGTAAAATGCTTTGAACTATCATATATTAGTATATACACACTCAGTGATCTTGGTGATTTAAGCAATCTGATTGGTTCGCTATCTCGGACTATTCAACAATATTCACCTCCTAGCGAGTGGATAATGTCTGAGCTCGGTGTTTTTCCCATTTTTTTAGAGAACAATCTTTTAAAAGTCGACAAAATCTTAGGGCTGACTTTTTTTTAAGGCAAGAAAAGACTTGGAAGGATTCAATACGGCGTTTTTCAATTTACTGTAGCTGAGTTTTGTGCTCGATGGATTGTTTACAACTCCCGTGTATCAGTATTCGCGTAGAAGAAGCCGTTTCGTGAAAAACTCAGCGTTATCTAACAAGGAAATTTTGGCTCCAAAATCGAAGTTTATCTATGACAAACAAATTTAATAGGAAATGCTAGCAGAAATTCTACGTTTCGAGTAAACGGGAAAAAATGATGATACAGGAAGACGACGTCTTACCTCGAGCAACCGAGCCGCCATTTTTGTCAGCACTTCATGCGAAGAACGACACAACAAACCCTTTTGGCTAAAAAACTTGGCGAGTCAACAGAAAACAACAAAGCTCTACTTTTCTTCTCAGGTAAGGAAACAGTTCAAACTTTTAGCGGTTCCATTTAAGCCATTACGCTGTTGTTTGTGAAATGACAGGAAATGACAAACTTGTGAATTGCCATGTTTGAAAATTCTGCGAAGATCTATTTTTAAACTTACGCGTGATTTGATCTGTCAATCAAATCGTGCTTTTTAATGGTTTCCTCTCTGATTTTGTTGAGATCACTTCGTGTGTATATACTAAAACAATTATTCTTTTCAATCTCGGTGAATAGTGGCAAACTATTTACCTCGCCGCTTTCGCGGCTCGGTAAATAGTTTGCCACTATTCACCTCGATTTCAAAGAATAATTGTTAAATGTAGCCTAAAATTCATCCGATTGCTTCGAGTCGTTTTCTCCTCTCAACAACGTTACTGAGGGATTAATAACGACTCGAAGTAATCGGATGAAATTCAGGCTACCATATAATGTTTTCAAATAAAGAAATATATGGAGATCAGTCTGGAGAATTTGTAAGTGGATCAGTATTGGGGCTTGAAGGGTTGAGCAAAGAAGAGAGACAGTGAAGGACAAAGTAAATTCATTATTATTCATTCAAAATATTTCTCCGTTTCTGACTGGCTAAAAGCAAACGCATAATTCACCATAACCAGCTACCGTTGACCAAATTTGAAAGACTGAATTTTGCGATTAATCAACCGATGACGTCAAAACTGCAGCTCAGTGGCAGATTAATGCACCGTCAACCGAGAAGACCTGGGGACGAGGTTGAATTGTTTTGGTTGTGAAAAGAAAAATGGCCGAACAGTCAGCGGAACATTGTACTCGTTTCACGACGAAATATTGTCTAAAAACATAGCAAGAAGACGGACAACATCTGCTATTTGGGAGTATATTTGCAGACCTGAAGAGCCCCTTATTTCCCCCATTTCTGTTAATGTGTAAATAGCTAATATTGTTTTTTCTACCGGAACGGCGGAGTGACCCTTCTATGTTCTACCCGAGACAATTTTTTCTCCACATAAAGGGGAGGGTTCATTTCCAGTAAACACGTTTAGCCGTTGCAAGGCGCCCACAGTATCTCAGTGCTTACCTTTAGTCGCGCTATAAATGCGTTTGTTGCTGTGGAAAAGGTGACCTGATAGTGTTTTTCACGATTTTGCAAGTGTTTGTTGCACATGGTACCAATGCGCAGCACTGCTTGAAACAATGGAAAAAATTCCTCGAACTTGTGGAAAGGCATGTGACACGTTTCTTCGACGAGGCAATCTGGGACCTTAAACGAAGACAGCTTTGCATGCCCATGGCATGAAGTTTAATTTTTCATATTTCACTCCCCAGGTAAGGCTATTTTTCGCAGAAAAAAGAAACCTAAAATTTTCGGATTCGAAAATGCCATGGATAGATGAATCAGAAAAAATTTTCTCTTGCGTTAAACGATAAAGCCTAGCCTGAATTTGATCCGATTACTTCGAGTCGTTATTACTCCCTAAGTAATCGGATGAAATTCAGGCTAACTGAAGCCCCCAAATCGGCACCCCGTTATAAAAAATAATTTCCCCTAAAATTGATACCCCGTTGTAGAAATGGGCCAATTTTTTATATCCCGTTCTAGAACTCGCCCTTAAACTGATACCCCATTCTAGAAATGGGCCAATATCTTATACTCCGTTCTGGAAAGTTTGTAAATTGAAATAGCTTTGTTTTTTTAAAAAGATATTACTTTATTTGTTCGACTTATACATCAAATAAATGCTTTATTATAATCAGCAACAATTTTAAGCAGAAGATAAAGCCGTGATCCACAAGTTTTTATACCCCGTTCTAGAAAACGCCTCTGAAATGGATACCCCGTTCTAAATCAGGAGCTTCAAAATCACGACCCCATTGGGCGGCACATACCCGTATAGGTAATGTATGGGAGTACCCCCCCTCCCCGGGCTGAAGCCCTTGTAATTTTGCAAAGGCTCAAGTTGCTTTAGGATTACCGAACAGATACAAATGTTACAGGGCGCCTTGGAATGCATTTGTACATATCTAAAAGTACTCTAGATATCCTAAAAAGTGTCTTTAGAGTATTTAAGGGTAAACTGTGGTTGGGTGCCCCTGGAAGAAGTATAGAAAAGCAAAATACTAACCTTGAAATAAAAGGGTGACCGGACCGAATGTCGAACACGTGGTGACCCATACAATCTGGCTACACAGCCTGGCTGCAAACCAAGATACTTACCAACTGCCCGGAAAAAGCAACGACCTTAACATAAAGAAGATGGGGCGAGAACTAGTATAGAGACAAGGAGGAAAGGAATAAGACAACTGACCTCGTTTACTGAAGTACTTTGTGTCTTCTCTCGAAGATGATAATGAATGTAGTATGGTGTATAGTCCCTTGGCTAAGACCACCGTTGTAAATAGTGATCAAGAGTGATGACTAGCATACGAAACGTAACTTTCGCATTTTTTAAAAAATGTATATAAAAAGGCGAAAGTTGACAATGTTTATCACCGCTGTTTGTGCCTTGTTGTTGATTAAGCTACGATGGCGCAAGAACAAAAGTCTTAATCATGCTTTGTGGTACTCCCTAATTAATTGATTTGTACGCGGTATGCACAGAGAATTTTCACGCACGTGGCCTGCAGCAGTTATGCAATTTTTTGCAAAAGAAGAAAGCGTTCACATACGAAAAGAGTTCAACTCCCACACGACTACAGTTCGGCACACCAACATAGCCGCCGTTTTATTGTTTTGGGAAACTAACATGACGGACAATGACAATGGCTCTATCCAGCCTGGTTCCTTTTTCACGAACAAGTTTAGTTCTTATCAAAAAAAACCTTTCGCCCCATGTAATGCATCAGTCAATTAAACCTGCGCCCAGCCACCTCCCCCCCACCCCCCAACCCCCCCATCGGGCTGACCCCTTTGGACATTAGCATTTTTTTTGCCTTGGATGGCAAATTCCCGGGGGTGGGGACTCTTGAGCTGTCAAATTCCCCGGGGTGGGGACGAAAAAAGAGGGCAAATGCCCCGTCCTCCGTCAACACTGCAACATTTTTCATTGATCGCACAATCAAATAGTGCCGTTTTAAGAATTTTAATGTGCGATTTTTATGTTTAATTAACGTCTTCCTTTGTAATAGCGCGAGGATTCTAATTAAGACCTCACACGGCGACGACATGCACCAGTTTATGTTTTTAGTATCGGTATATAATTATTGACATAAAAATTAATAGACCGCTGTAAAGTTATATGTTATGAATAGTTTTATAAATATGAAAGGATGTTCTTCAAATAATATCAGCAGAAAATTGATTCAATAACCAAAAAACGTTGATTCACATCGATAGTTCCAATTTCGCTACGTAATTCTGGCTTGATAAGCAATGAAGAAATACATACATACATGTAAAATCGAGAACATGCCGTTACAACCCTCTACAATTTATTCCTGTCCTTGACAAATGAACCAATCTGCTTTTCTTCCAGTAAAACCTTCTTTGTAGTTTTATTCTGATAGGAAACCGCGTGCGTGTCAAAAGCTCGGGATTGGTCCGCGGGTTGGCAGATGCCCGGCCCCCGGGCAGTGCCAACATTTGCAAATGCCCCACCCCCGGGACTGACAAGGGGGGCAAATGCCCGGGGGGGGGGACTGGGCGCAGGTGGAATTGACTGATGCATAAGGGAATTCAAGACAGTCTTGGATTCTGGATTCCACAACGTAGATTCCACGCCGAGGATTCCGGTTTCTAGGTATTTGATTCCAGTCTGGATTCCAATCGCTAGTGGGATTCCAGATTCCAAATTGCACGAGAAAAATCAACCGCTTTTTGTTCTTTATTTTTTCACTTTAGGGGAGTCTGTTATATTAGTTTCTCTGGCTCATTTTCCTCGATTTTCTTGACAGTATTTTTCTCTTAGTAACGTATTTTCGATACATTTAGCCAGAAAGACGTACTTTTTACCGTGTTCGGGTTTTTGTAATATATTTTTAACTTTACTATCGTTGTTTTGAGTACAAAATTAAATCCCGTCGTCGTCTGCTGAAAACTATGGCCATTTTCTTGAATTTTGTTGTGAAAACAGCTCTAATCTGATTGGTTCTTGGTGGTTTCGTTTGTGTTTTCAGCAAATCAGAAACCATGCACTCCTTTCTCAGCCAATCAGAATTGAGTAATTTTTTCGTGTATATTATTAATGCTGTAAGTCTGGAGAGAGCCTGTGGAGGAGACGGTGCTGAGGGATACAAGAATTGATAAAGAAGCAATGACTTGTAACGTGAAAAGTGGACACCACCTTCGGAAATTCCTCACTCCAGAAACTAGAAGGAAAATGGGTACAAGCTTTCGGCGCAGTGATTTCTGGGATCGTTTGGGAGGACAAGCGTTACTTATGATTGGTTCATGGTTGCTTTGAATACCATCGACCAATCATAACTAACGCTTGTCAAACCAAACAGAAATCACTGCACCCAGAGCTTGTACCCACTCTCCTTTACAGAGTTTTCGAAAACGCTAAAACTATTAGAAGACAGGCTGTATGCTTCGAACGATAAACGTTGCAGTACTGCGGGAACGCAAGGGAATAAAAGAGAACGATTGACAAGGAGTAAAACACACAGAATTTGCCACCTCAATTGTCGATCCCCATGTTTACTAAGTTCAAGCCAGATTTTTGATAGAACTTTAAGTACTCGATTTCCTTGCACTGAATCATAAAAATGCAAGAGAGAATGCGCTGTGTGGTAACAAACTGTCAAGAAAGTCTACCCCACATTAAAAAGTGGTTCTGTCGAGTATCTTAGCTTTAAACGAATCCAGTTGAAAAATTCTTCAATCAGATCTTGAATAAAATAAATATATTACATAAATTATTTAAATAAAATTTACTTATGTTTCTTAGTTTAAATTATGTTGTGGTCTGTATTGGAAAAAAAGCACGGCCCTAGGCCGAGGGCCATACTATTGGCCACGGCACAGATATTTCTTGTAGGGACCGACCTTGGAAGGTACATGATCTTTTTTTCTTACTTCAATTCTGCAATGTGCTAACGGATTATAACTGGACAAGCACAGCATTCCCAGAAATATGAAGCACTACGAAATGCACGAGTCCCAGCCTAGTCCCTAGGCGTTCTCTCTTGATCCGTTGTCCGCGCAAGCGTTCCTTAAGTACATAACATTTCGAAGGCAGAATAAACACAATTCCAAGGTAGCCTGGAAAACGAATTTTCATAATTCTAGTTTTTCGTAGCCTCCAAGCAGGCTGTGGGGGAGTGAAGTGAGCAGGGAAAGAGCTATTTTCTCGCCCTTTTTCCTCCCTTACCCCCTCCCCCCAACCCCCAAGAGCTTGCTTGTAGGCTATATTGCTCTGTTGCGGCAAGGATCAGGAAAATGTTACCGCTGGAAAAGATCCCCGCCCTCGATATGCAGACACGTGTTTATTACGGGCAACCCGAAAATACAAACTGCAGTGAAATCCCCGGCAAAATAAATTACAGACGCATGAAAGATATAACTCGGGGTCCAGAGGGCGTTCACAACAGCGTGGATTGACTGTGTCGGCATCTATTCTCGGCCCACAGTAATGAATTCAAAGCATGCTGTGTTTTCTCTCTACTCATTTGGCTTCTGCTCGTTTGTTTCTGAGTACGTGGCACCGTAAACCTCTTGCAAAATCTTTACAGTGGTGTTGTCAGACCGTGCAAGGTCCTCATGAACACGTCTGCTGGCCTTCTGTATAACACATACTAAACAAAGCGGAAATAAAAAGCGGTTAGGGTGTCTCCGGAAAAATCTCGAGAGGTGATCATAAGACCATCAAATCAAGAAGATGAACACCTCGACGAATTTCAGTTTCAAATTGTTAAAGGTAAGCTCTAGAGCTTAGTATAACGAAAGAAATAACTTTGTGCTGGCCTTAGAAAACAATTTGAACGTGGCCCCCTGTGATAAGATTCACCTTCCTGAGATTCATTATAAACTCAATTTATACTTACTTCTCTCTGCAGTTGTTTTCTCACTCGTCTGATCCTCTAAAACCAACTCCTACCGAGGGGAAAGACAATAACGGAAACGGAGATGCAAGATCAGCGCGAAACGATACAGTCCGCCAACGTTTGGTTAGAAGGGCTGTGTCACGACAGTCCAATCCATTTAGTTGAGTTCTAAGCAGTTATTAGATACGGTTTTTGTGATATCCGATATAACCAAGGTAGAGGTAAGTGTTATCGGACGAGGGCAATTTTAAGTTTTGTTATACAATGTTTTAAAGAAAATTACACCAAACACACCGTCGCACAGTCTGATATTACTTTTAGAAATTATGCATTGCGCGCACTCTACATATTTGCCAGTTATAGTCAAACAAAAAGTAAAATAAAACAAGATTACACCCTACCTGCATGTCAGGCTGTCGAATATACTCTACAAGGTATCCTTTGTATGTGTCGTGCCTTTCTTCCAACAGGGGGGCCAAAGAAATCGAGTCCTCTTCCGTCATTACGCTCGTCAAGTGACACAGGGAATTACAAAGCTGGAAAGAGAAAAATAATCACTAATTTCTCCAAAAAAAAAAGGAATTTTTGTCTACCCACGAAGCGCTTAGGGGTTTAAATGTGTTCGTGAGTTTCAGATCGTATTGGAACTTGCAAGAGTGTTGCAAGAGTCATTTCAATCGATAGAATTCGTGGATCGACCATTTCTGGAAAAGCTCAACCTGTTTCGCGTTTTCGCATCTTTCCAAAGCTAAGTTCTTAAAAAAAAAACATGCATGACGCTCTGAAAAATTTTTATATGTTGTCGGTCACATCGCAATTCTTATCCCCAGTTTCCACGGTCTCCAATAGGAACGCCTGAAACCTTGACTCCCCTTTTGTGGACTAAATACGAAGGAAAAAAACGACTACGCAAGCTCTACTAAATAGCCTAGCCTTGTGCTAATTACCATTTGTGTAAGAACGTGTTTAGGCTAACTAGGGAAAATGCCGGTTGTTGTTTTAACTGTATTTCGCCGGGGATTTTGTCACGTGCATTTTCATGATTTTGACTTTGGTTGCAAATAATTTTTTGCCCATCATTTAAACAGCGACAAGCAAAATTTCATCAAGTTCTTGGTCTTTGCCTCGATCTGTTAGTACAGCTGCAAGTCCCAGGCCTCACCAAAAAGCGCGAAAATTGCTATTTTACGGATTTGGTAAATACGAAATATATAGCCTACACAATTTAAGGTGAAGATTCTACAAGTGTATTAAATAAAACTGTCATCATCGTAGATGAGTGTGACTTGAATCATACCTCTCGTCTCAGAGTGTCTCTGTATTTGAATTCACTGAAATCAGTCACATTCTCTGTGCTCTTCAACGCGTCAATCAGGGTGGCATACAGGTGACAATACACGGCTACGTCGCCATAGTAACGTCTCTCCGCTGGAACTGATAACGCGAGGACGGCATTGATTCGAACCTAGAATATTAAGAAACACCAAAAAAAAATAACGCTTTCGTATCAGCTAAATTAAAGTAAATACTAGAAGTATTTTTTGTAAATGTTTGTATTAGCAGTATCTGTAAACTAGTAGATGCATTCCGGGTTATATATCAACTTTTAGTAAAATCCAACTGGTGGTCTATTATCAATGCTGCATTCTGATTGGTTGAGCTACTACCAGGCTATATGTTATAGCCCACTAGTAGCGAAAAGCGCGGGCTTTTTGGCGGCAAAAAAGGATTAAAGTCTAGCTTTAACTAGCTAAAGTTGTTTTGTCTCGATACTTTTGACCAACTATTTGGATTTTATGCCACTGATATTAATATTATAAAGGAAATAAAGGGAGATGTAAAGAATCAACCATGAGAGGACACAGAAAAAAATCTGAGATGTGTTGCTTGTGATGGACTGTGTGACTGCGAGATGCGGTTCGCAAGTCCAACCCACAAAAATGACCCTTGCTCGCCAACGAGTCTTCAGTAGCTCAGAGGTTAGAGCATCCGATCTAGAACACGAAGGGTCGTGGGTTCAAATCCCATCTGGGGCACAGATTTTTTTTGTGTCCTAATATGGTTGATTCTTTACATCTCCCTTTATTTCTTTCATAGTTGGAGTTTACTAAAACAATTATTTCTCGAGCCCGAATGGGCTCTGAGTCAATAGCCCATGAGGCCGAGTGTATTTGACCGGGTAGTTTTCGTGAAATGAGCCATATCAGACAATGTTAAGTCTCTAAAAGTTTGCTTTAGGGAGGAACAGGTCGCTCTACTTTGCACCAAACCAAACAAAAAAAACACACTTTCTTGATTCTGTATCTATAATTAATAAATGATCTCTCTCTGTGAATTCAAATGATTTTCACACGGTTTATGTGCCTCTCAACCAAGATATGGAAGCTTGCAAGCACGTTTACCCTGTTAAACTAACATTTGGTCACACCCACCTTAAAGTTCTTACAGTTGCAAATGACATTTTCTAACGTACTGTACATTCCACTCTACAAAAAGATAATTGGAAAAATAAATATTCTGGGTTGACATTAACCAAAAGTCTTTTCAGCACACTTATTGTCAATCATCTTTGTACTGGCGGAACAATGCGCGGCGAAGTGGCCAGCAGCGAATACAGTAAAAACCCAGGAGTAAGAACCTACATTTTCCAGGATTAGCCTAAACAGGTTCTTACATAAATGGTGGTTAACATAAATTTAGGCTATCTAGGTTCTTAATAGGTTGTTAATTTCTTGCAAAAAATTATGTCGTTGCTAAGAAGATTTTAGTGATCAGCACCCTTAAATTTGCATACCTAATGATAGCTTATATTTTAATATGACCATATGATCATAATTTTTAACATTACAATTGACATGTAGCAACTACTCATCCAGATTGATAATACATTTACTATATAATTTCTCTTTAGGTGAATATTTTTAAATAACTTTTGAAAATAAGAACCTTTCTTCAAATTTTAGGCTAAAGAGGTTCTTATATAGAGGGGGTCTAAAATTGCAAATTTTAGCCTAACAGGTTCTTAAATATTAGGTCCTTACTCGTGGGTTTTTACTGTATCCCAGACTACACTTGCTCACAGCGAGCTCTTTGCGCCCCTCGAAACGGCCGAAAACATCTTAAATCTCTTTGTCGCAGACCCACATTTGGGAGCGTGAGCAAAGACCTTTTTGAGCGACTCAGGTCAACCGGAAGTGTAGCCTTCGTCGCAGGAGTAATTTAACCTCGGTTAGTAACGTCTGCGAAGCAGCGTTGACATCCTTGTTCTGGGCCCCCGATGGACTCAACGAATTCCCGGAAGAGCGATTCGAATTTCCTTTCATCTTGATTGGCAAATCGACAATGGCTTGTTTAACTGGCCAATCATGGCGCGTACTCAAATCCTGGTACACATGTGGGGCCCAGAACAAAGATTTCGGCGGTGTTTCGCAGACGGACTGAACCAGAGTTTAGTTTCGTCTGCAGTGCAGGCTACCGGAAGTGAGGCCTTTTCTCTTAATTTTAATATACCTTGAAGCTACCAACGAAATTTGTATTCAGGGTTGCTACAGGTACGGAAAAACGGACAACAAAAAACGTGCAACTTGTATTGCAACCTTGCTGCAAAACGAGTTGAATAGCGGTGTTGCACGTTTTACCACCCACATCAAACCTGTTAACAACCTTATTTGTTGCAAGACAGGTTTGATTCGTGGTTGGTAAAACGCGCAACATCGCTATTCAACTCGTTTTGCAGCAATGCTGCAAGACAAGTTGCACGTTTATTGTTGCCCGTTTTTCCATTCCTTAAGTGTCTTTACCCTTGAAGAGACGATTTACCCGAAATTTTTGGCAAAACTAGTACCCAAGAATGCGAAAAGGCCTCCTCTGGGTGACCAGCGTCTCTCAAAAACATCTCCGCTCAAGCTTCTTATTATATCGGTTACCGAAGACACGAAATCATCCGCGTATGGGATGGTCTAGGATAAATCGGGGTAATCAGGGGCATTTTTACTTCACCGGCATGTCCCAGATTTCTGCGATGCTTGGTAATCATTTTTTAACTGTAAAAAAGGTTTTGCAATAGTTTAAGCTTGGCACTGTACCGTACCGCAAATCATTTGTGTCCATTTTGGGAATCATTTGCGGTCGGGGATCATTTGCGGTACTCTACAGTAACAATCCCCTGTACATTACCAAACACTTAGAGAAGCGCGCAAAAGGCAAACTAAAAAGGAAATTGAAAAGCGAGTACTTACAGTCCACGATGCCGTGCCAGTTGGTAAAAACGGATTACGAAACATGTTACCGAAGGCGTAGCATGCATTCCAGCGAACCTAACAGCAAAAGAAAAACAATTTTTCATTTAGTTCATTAAAGATCATTTGGTCCATTAAAATCACCTTAACAAACACGGAATAAGGATTTGCTCCAACTAAAGTAACCTTGATGAACAATCCGAAGGCCCAAATCAAAATCGGTCTCTGTGATTTTCAACATTTTATCCTGTGCTTTTAAGATACTAAGTACCTTAAAGCGAGACAACTCACCTTCATCAGATTAGAGTCTAGATTTCTCATTAAAGCGTCAACGGCTTTCTCTACTGCTTCCGTGAAGCCCGCTTTTTCTAAAAGAAATAGAAGTAGTTTAGCAACACAGCCCTAGCTCTCTCTCTTCCGTGTCAAAATTAAAGCTCTTGAATCAGTTCCGTTTCCGACATAAGCCACGACAATCTAAAAAGAGCTTTTCCCGCGGGTCTTTTCCTGTATCGTTTTCTACATAACGCCAAGGTGGAAATTACTACCGAGTGTCGCAATTAATATGTTGACAGCGTTGGGGTTACATGACCAGGTAAAACTAATCTTCCGACTGGCTATTAAGGTTAACGTCATTTTCTAAAAAAGCAAAGAGGAGGAACAACAATCGTGCCTTTTACAAAAGCGAATCGGTCCTAAGATTCGAATCCCGACGGAGACTCAAGAATTTTTGTTAGGGTGCTTTCCATTTGTCAGAACTGAATGTCCCGACAATTCCTTTCGTAAGGAGCATTTTACTTTTTCTCAAAACTGTCCAAACAGATCAGTCGATTTCTATGATAATATGCATTTTTAAGTGAAAGCTCTTTTAAAAAGTTTATTTCATTTTCAAAATGAACCGTCCGGCGACCAGTTGTGACTTTTTGAAAGCGCCCTTAGCCCCACGACTCGGAAGGGATGATGGGGCTGGTACAATACAAAGTTGACAGTCTCAAAGTTTCTTTCATGCTTAGCAACCTCCCGTGTGCAACCATAACTCAAAAGTACACGTTCAGCCGTTCACCATTTGTCCACTCTTTTTCAGTCATGACATGGGGATTATTACGTATTTTTCAGTCAGAACCGAGCTCGGCATTTGCCATCGTTCTTTGTTCATTCTCAATAATAAATTTCTTGTCAGACTACCTGTCAGTTTTAGGGTAGTTAAAAAGAAGGCGATAGAGACCAACGAGAAATAAATGATACAAGCTTGGAGGCATAACAAACAACGTTCTCACCTAAAGAGGACGTTCTGATGTAGCGAAGAAAGTTTCCCAATGCTCTCACAGCATTCGACTTCACCTAAACAGAGAAAAACAGTATCGGTCAATCAACTAACTGTAGTATGATTCAGAAAACACACGAAAAACGTCACAAACACATCCTGTTGTTAACCGAGATTTTGTGCCGATACAGTCAATATGACCAAGATCACTTTTTAGTTAAGTGTCGTACAACCCACACCAAAGTAATACTTTTGGTCAGCCAAAATGGATGTAGATAAATCGTTTCGCCGGCAACGCTTTGTTAATTGGCTTAAAGTCTCGAGCCAAATTCTGCTCCAATCAGAGGTAAAACAAAAAGAAATCTTGACATGCAAGGATTTTCCCGCGCTTGGCAGCGGCTGGTGCCGAGCACTTTTTCCCGCGATGGACTGGCTGCTTAATGTGGCTTCAAGTTGTGATTGGTTCTTTGGAAAGACAGCATCCGTTTTGATTGGCTTCAAGTTATTACTCTTGCTCTGGGTCCGATTTCTTCTATAGACTCAAAAGTTAAAACAACCGTCAAAACTTTTCATTTCTCACATGTCTCGAAACATGTAAACGTGAGCTAATAAGAAAGGCTAGAGATCCAGTTACGATCACACGAAATGATACTCTCAACATTTCAACAAGATTAGCGCTAGATGGGTCTTTCAGGAAACAGGCCCTGGTTCATCGAATTGAACAACTGATTGCCACTTAACTGCGCACCTTTTCATTGTCATCCGCTGCCGTGATTGAAGTATTCAGTAGCTTAAGCAACAACATGTCCGAAAAATCCTCCAAAAATGCAGTGTCCTCAGAACACCTGAAAAAAAAAAAAACACTCAGACGGGAGTTCAACGAAGTAAAACTAGTTTTTTTTTCCCCTAAAATATCTTTGATTTACTGTTGAAAGAAAACCAATCAACGAGAAATTCCCATTCGGTGGGCGCTCTAGATGTGAATATTGGCTACTAAGGACTTCACAATCAGTTCAACATTTTCACTCTCAAGATAGATGTAAACAACAATTCACGGGAATTCCAAAACCAAGTTTGTGCAGTAACGAAAAACGTGAACAATTGGTGAAGAGAATTCGAATCAGTCGAATGAAAGGTTACACCACAGAGACTTGTCAACAGGCATTTTTTTCTGTCTCTGAAATTTGAGAGTACTTAAGGGTTACAAGTATTTTATGGCATGAGTCGCACTTGGCAAATTTTTTTGTTTACCTTCCAAAATTTTTCGGTCATTTCCGACCCCATTTTCAAAAAAAACTTTGCCAATCGGCAATCAAACTAATAGGGTCAAGTCACTTTTGGAATCATCAGACAGTTTTTCAGCCCCGTCAAATGTTAAACAGAATGGATGCAAACGCCAAATTTTCCCTTCGAACAACTTAAACTTTTTTCCGGATAATTATTAGTAGTTTTTTTTACCTGTTCCAAAACCAGTCATCAGAAAGAAACGTTTATAGTTTTTATTGGAAACTTGGACCCGCATCCAAGCACTTTCCGGTCTTTTATCTGTCTCATCCTCCAAAAGGGGAATGGGGAAAAAGCCCTCGATGGGGGTCGGATGAAGAAGACTGGTATCTGACTATAATAAGGTCTCATTTTCAATAGAAACTTTACTAGAATGGGGGGCGCAAATTTTAGGATTTTGGGGGAGGGGTGGGAGGATTCAAAATGGGAAGATTTTTTTTTAATAAAATCAGAAAGTTGTTGTCTTTTTTTCCATTTAACTATAAGCTCGCACTGACCGCAATTTTTTTCCGCCGCTTGAAACCACATTGAAAATAAGGTCAATGGATGCATAAATAGAGAGTTGACTAAAAGTTTTCTTTTCCGGTTGCGGGATCGAATTTTTGTGGTTTGTTACATTTTCCAAAAAGTGACCCAGATGGGGTCTATAATTGGCCAAAAAAAAAACTATAAACTACTAGGGTCAAGTCACTTCAATCGTCAGACAGTTTTTGCTCCGTAAATGTTAACAGAATGGATGCACCCAAATCCCCCTTGAACAACTTAAACTTGTTTCCGGATAAATATTAGTATTTTTTTTCCCTGTTCCAAAACCAGTCACGAAAGAGGCGTTTATAGTTTTTAGTGGAAACTTGGACATTGACAGGGATGTATAAAATTCTTTATAGTAATAACAATAATAATTAAAATCTTTAGACAGGAAGTCGCCATCCACAAAAACAATAAAAACACTAAGTACGTTAAATAGACAATAGAAGTCTCACTGTTCTTATCAAAATTTTGCTAAAAGATGTAAAACAGCGTTTCTAAAACTGCGAATACTTTCACTGTTTCTGACTTTAAGAGGAATCTCGATCAATTCTTTGGAGATCTGTAAATAGTAAACGCAACTATCTTAACATTTCTCTAAAATTAATCATTTATGTCAGGTTTGCAAGCACGAGCTGCAAAACGTGCGATTTTTCGTGTGCTTGCGTCTTAATTTTCGCAGCTGCGTGCAAACGTAGACATGTCTCGAAGTTTTAGTTTCCAAAAGCTTCTGATAAAGATGTTGTTATTGACCCTTCAAAACGTTTAGTCAATTGACACAGAAGACAAAGTTAGCTTTAAAGGACTGTTTAGCTTTTGCATCCTCTACGCACTTTATCACGTCGCCTGTCGAAATTTACCGTGACAGTTCCTTGCAACTTTATTTATTTTTCGTAGTTTTGATTTCAGTGGTCACGCCTATCTAACGCTGGACTTATGACAACACTTTAATGAGAACTAACGGCACCCAGCTTCCTGCTTCAACCAAGACAAATAAGCTATAATAACAAAACAGCCAAGATAAAAGCGACTAGAGTTTTCCGATATTTAGGCAACCGTAGGCTGAGCAAGTATCAACTTTAATTGACGAAATGTGGAGACTTTCATTCTTATCTTAAGTAACGCTAAGTTCTGATGAGAAACAACTACAAACTACTCTTGAGTACCTAGTGTCATTTTCAGCTGACTACAAATATCGTGGTTGTTACTTCAAAGCGTAGTTATTATTTTCGTACATTTTATAAAGTTCTTTGGGTCCAGTTTCAGGTTAAAAACAGGAAGAGGTGAAAAAAGGCATAGATGTAAATAGGGATTTTGCCGAGTTTTTTATGTCAACATTAAATCTGTTGTTTCTTCTGACACCTTTGAAGATCATTCTAGGATACCCAGCAGTGGGTGTTTATCGCGATAAGTTTCGTATCACGCACCTTGAACGCAAGGGTGTGATCGAGCATCGTAAAAGCTGTGCCGTTCGCGAAGATGGCTGGAAAAGGCGCAGACAGAACTAATTTCATTTTGAAAATCCTTGTCTTTCTTCTTGCTGTTCTGTCCCTCGCTCTGCTCATCGCATTGATAGTCGTGGCCACAAGGGAAAATAAGAGCGAACCCTTGAAAAATGGTGGTGGCGGCTCACAAAGTGGTGGGTTCTGCCCCGAGACGTATCTGACACCTTCGAAAGAAGCTACACGCTCGGCAGGGCTATACAACGATTTATCTAAGGAGGAAATCATCGCTGTCCGTGATTACATTCTTAGTCAGTCGTCGCTAAATGTCACTCCTTTTGATGAGGCCAAGATCAACGACAACTACATTTATTTGATAGAGCTACAGCAACCTCCCAAAGCTGCAGCGCTGGAGTTCCTCGACAAGAACGGAGACAAGCCTGAGCGTACCGCTCGTGTTGTAATCTACAGCGGTGGAAAAGCTAACCCTGATGTGAGAGAATATTTGGTGAAACCTGCTGGAAAACCTACGAGCCATCGAGAGTCAACCGGGCCCGGTAAATACCCAATTCCGTTCAACACGCGATTCGCGGACACTAAGGAGCTGGCGATCATGGAGAAAATGATAAAAAACGTCACCAAACACGCTTTCCGCTTGCTAAACGAAAGCTACGACGGGTTCACATTCTGGGGCTGCAAAGATCGCTGCTTGACGTGGGGGCTATCAGCTCCGAGTACGTTCAAGGCGAATCAGCGTAAACAGTGGACGTGGATGATGAGAGACATGATAGGATTTTACATTCAACCGGTCGGGTTTGAAGTTTTACTGGATACTGGCGGAAACGATCCGACACAGTGGCGAGTGGAAAAAATTTATTACAACAACAAGACTTATGACACTGTAGAAGAACTCATGACCGCTTACGATGCTGGATCTAAGATGCATTTTCCAGCTGCCAAGGATAAGGGTCTGTTCTCCACTTATGAGCGCCGCGGGGACCCTCAACCAAAAAAGCCCCTGAGAAACCCACGAGTCTACGAGCCGGACGGCAAACGATACTCAGTCAGCGGTCACCACGTGGAGTACATGGGTTGGAGTTTCGACTTCCGGTCACGCACCTCTTCCGGTATCCAGATTTTTGACATCAAATTCAAGGGTGACAGGATCGTTTACGAATTGAGTGTGCAAGAAGCTGAGGCATTCTACTCAGGGTGGTCCCCTAAACCGCTGTTCACGAATTACCTTGATGCTGCCTGGAACATGGGATCCATGACCTTTGAACTCCTGCGTGGGGTCGACTGCCCTGACACGGCAACTTTCTTTGACGTCCTGCACTTTGTTGGACGAGGTTACCCAGCCAAGTACAAGAAAGCAATCTGCTTGTTTGAACAAGACATGGGTGTCCCCTTGCGTAGGCACTACGATACGAACTTTAACGGCGGTTATAACTTCTACGGGGGAATGCCCGGTAGCGCGCTTATCCTCCGTACAGCTGCCACAACCTACAACTACGACTACGTGATGGATTACATCTTCTATCCCAACGGTGTCCTGGAGGTACGATGCTCCGCCAGCGGATATCCTCAAGCCACTTTCTACACTGTAGACGAAGAGCCTTACTCAAACCAGGTCCACTACCAGTTGGCAGGAAGCATGCACGACCACATCTTCAACTACAAAGTGGACATCGACATCCTCGGTACAGAAAACTCGTACGAAACTTACCAAGTCGGACTCCAAAACTTCACCAATCCGTGGTTCCCGAACGATTATCACATGCAGAAAATCATCCACCGTAAACTGCACACCACAGAGGACGACGCAGTGTATCATTACAACTTCAACACTCCCACCTTGATGAACTTCATCAACAAGAACGAAAAGAACACATTTGGCGTCCACCGCGGCTACCGCTTGCACATCCGCGACATGATAAAGCAGATGTATCCGGCAAGCTGGCCGGTAGTGAAGGGCGCAGGATGGTCTCTCAATCAATTGCACGTGACACTAAGAAAGGAGACCGAGGAAAAGAGTTCTTCCCTTTACAACCAGCAAGACATGGTCGACCCCGTGGTGGACTTTCAAAAATATGTGAATGGCGAAAATATCGATAACGTGGACATGGTTGCCTGGGTAACCATGGGCACAATGCACATTCCACACTCAGAGGATATCCCAAACACAGCAACACCAGGAAGCGTAGCCAGCTTTCAGCTTAAGCCTTTCAACTACTTTGATGAAGATCCTTCCATGTCATCGTACGACGGGGTAGTGATCTATCCTTCTAAAGATGGAGCCAAGATCAACACCTTTGGCACACCCACGAAACCAGTATGCACCCCAAAAGAGAAGCCTCTAGAGTTTTACGGTCTCTACGGAGATTACTGATCATTACACAGCCATGTGAAATAACCTTTCAATTAATCTTCATTTTAGTCAAGAGACTATTTGACAGTATCTTAGGTGACTTTTTTCAGTTTTATTAATTGCGAATCGAGTTTTAAACCTTAATACTAGCTAAACAAGTCTTTTATCGATGTAAAATCTGGTCCACACAACAAAAGTGATTCCATAGCATTATTGTTTTCTTGGGAATGAGGTCGTTTTTTTTAGGGGCACTTCACATTTGAAATAAGCAGAGACCTACTTCCCTTGTTTGAACATTCATGTAAGTCACCTTAACCCGCCATTTAATAAAGAGGGCTGTTTTCCTATGTCGGATTAAAATGGGTGGAAGACTCCATCAAATACGAATAGTTGTCTCAGACAAGTATACAGCTATTTCGAGAAAGGTTGTCGGAAAAAAAGTGCACGCGACAATCCCGAAAGGTAATATTGGATATGTTCAATACACTGTTCCTGACACCGTAGATGTCGAACCTACTTTTGTTGCTTTCCTTTAGCACTCGCAGACATATGTCCACAGCCTCTTCTGCCATTCTTTCAGATTTCTCTGAAAAACAGTGAACTCAAAACTACCCACAATACCTTTCGGTGTTGTCGCGTGCACTTTATCCGACAACCTTTCTCGAAATAGCTGTATACTTTTAGATCGATTGTGGCGCGAGTCTAGGCTATAGCAAAGTCCACAAACAAAGGTACATATCCTTTGACTTTTTTATATTTTATGTTTCGGATGGACACACGCGTAGAACAAAGGTTCCATTTTCGCGGGAAAAAGTTCTCTTCATATGTATCTAAAAATAGACTGGTCTACAATGACAAAGGCCAAGTATGAAGGTTACTATCAGGTTATAGGCTCCTGGCCGCCCGTTGCATAAAGATGTGACAACTTACAAACTAGCCTCCTAAGCAGACCTTCTTAGGGTTTCGTCACGCGTTCTTTCCGTCGTTGGGGAGGATTGCATGACGAGCCAAAAGAACGTCTGCGTGGGAGGGTACTTACAAAGCCACTCCTACATGACTTACATATTGGTTACCAAGGAGTCACTGAGATTGGCTAGAGACCAGGCCGCCCTCATTCTGACCAGGAGTTTGGGGTCTGTCATGGCACTTAACACCGTATTAGCAGTATCTGCGACAAAAAGTACATCTTCCCGTAGACACTGATACAGAACAAACACACCCAGGGCACGGACTGAAGATGCCTGGAGTAAAGAGCAAGCAGAAAAATAGGGTCACTATAAGTTCTAAAATAGAAATGGGGAAGGGAGCTAAAAATCGCGTGGAGACGGTAATAGAAATAAAGCGAAAGAGGGGAAGTGTGAGCTAGCACGCGGTCGACTCTCTTCGCTCGCCTATTTTTTCCCTTTTTCCCACCAGGGTGCCTGATCCCAGGTCAAAGTAAAAACAGAATAAAACGAAAAAAAATAATTGTGAAAATTTCCTGGGAGGTCAGACACATATGGTCTCTCTCTTCTCCGTTCTTCTTGTGGCGATGTCGCCAGTAAAAATCTCGTTCCAGTTATTTGCCACTGGGAGTACGAGGATGCGTCTTTGGTGACTTCGTGTATAGTACAAACCCGCGGGTAAGAACCTGTTAGGCTAAAATTTGTCAGTTAGGCCCCCTCTATACAAGACCCTAATTAGCCTAAAATTTGAAACAGGTTCTATTTTCTACAATCTATTTAAAAAATTCTGTACACTTGGGCAAATAAGAAAATTCAACATTCAGGATCCTCTCTTAAGAGAGGTGTCTTATCATTTCAACTGCAAAGTGATGGTATGCAGATTTTATATACGGAATAAGCTGAATACCTCTAAATACTCTTAGCTATAACGTTTTTTTTTCCCTTTAGAAAATAGGGACCTTTTTGAGAACCTAACTAGCCTAAATTTGCGCTAATTACAATTTCTGTAGGAATCAGTGAAGGCTAACATGGGAAAATTCAGGTTCTTCCTCGCGGGTTTTTATTGTAGTGACTCTAAAGTGAAACCCTGACTAAAACTGGCCGTTATTCACCTTGACGTTCTTGTCCTCGTCATTTGACAGGCCAAGGAGAAGAGTGATGCACAGCACACGCCTGTTTAACTGCAAGAAAGACAAACAAATAAGCGATTGATAACTGCAACTACTAGCACGATTAATGAACAATAAAACAATTAAGGCGGCCCTAGACCTGCTTTTATAGCAGTCATGTCAAGACGGATCAGCAGTAAATGTCCGACGTTGTTATGATAATTGCATGAAACAAATGCCCAGTCACTGGTAAAAAAAAGTTGTGACTTTTTCATAACTTTCTATGCTACCTTGGACATTTTTAACTTTTTTATTTTCACAAAATAAGACAAAATGTAGCATCTTGAGAGGACAATATAACTGTTTCTTATCGCTCCCCGCCCCGAAAAGTGCCGATTAAACAGTGGCAGACTTTTATTTCCTATAGCTTGTGAAGCTGGCGGTTTTGTCTGGCGAGCACGCCCATGAGCGGCATTCTCCTTGTGGCTTCGTCGCTCGCTCCCGCTACGCTCCATTTCCCTCCCTCTCCCCCTCCCCCTTCCCCCCGCCAATCTAAGCCTCGAGCTACGCAGGCTATATTTTTCAGGACTTACAGGGAGTTCGTTAAAGATTACACCTCCAATGTTCGATAAACAGTCAAGAGCAGCACTGCATGCTGAGCCTGATACGGGACTGCCATCCTGTAAGATCTTGGTCAGCGGTCCATCTAATAATTTCTGCCAAAACTGAAATACCTAACCAAGACAACAAAGGTAAAAACAGGGGATCGAGAACAATAATAATAAGTTTAAAAAGTAAATCATCAAAACATGTAACTTGCTTGCACGTTTTGAGTCTGTAAGCGGAACCCTTCGATATGACCATTCAAGAAAAACATCAGAAAAGTACTTTCACGCAATAATATATATAGAAGTTGTAGTTAATTTCTTATCTCAGTTAATTGTTATTTTTCTATTGTTTTTGGGTATGGTAATGTAAGCTAATGAATTTGAAACAGAGGAGAAATAAAAATTAACTGAAATGAAAAATTAACTGCAACATATATTTGTTATTTCCACATTTAATTTTTAATTTTCGCAGCGCCTAAACACATTTGTAAGTACGTATAACTGTGTCGTTAAGAAGCAAAAACACAGACGAGATTGCGCCGCCATCTCACCAAATTATACGAAAATTAATTCTCCTCAAAATCCTCGAAAATTTCCCCGCTGGTACTCACACTGGCGACAGTTATATAAATTTTCACCTATGGCTTATAGCTTAGGATTACAGGACAGCATCGAGAATAAAGAGAAAGTCAGAAGAAAAATAAGAATCTTATAATCTCATCTTCCTAAGGTGATCGATCCAGATTATAGGAGAGGAATAATAGCCGTGCAAATACAAAAGTAAGTGTCCTATCTAAACGAACCTGATCCTTTGAAATCTCACTTCTGCCAGACGAAGTTTTTGAAATCTCGCCATTCATAGCTCGCGCCAGCTCCTCTAATACCTGGAAAAGCACAGTGAAATAATCAAAAGCATAAAAGGAGGCATGCCTCCCTCGAATAAATAAGGGGGAAATACACTTAATTCGAGTGTCAATGTATTATATTTCCTTCTTAAAAGCACGAAAGTACTGATTGGGGACACTATTTTTAGGTCTCCTACTGGAGACAGGACCGCCATTTGACGTGGCCATCCGAATCAGGGGAGGATCTAGCCGAAGGTAGTACTTTAATTTCTCAGTTATTTTAAGACCCGTGTATTGGTCCGGCCCCGGGAATCGAACCCACCGACTGAGCTCATCCTGTTGCTATTTAGAAAGGACTATGATTTTTCACAATCACTGCAATCTTACGTTATAGAGCCTAATAATAGGGGAGATGAAGAAGGAGGAGGGGGGTGGGGTGGGGTGGTCATGCCGGCTGGGTGAGATTACAACACAGCTAAATAAAATAAACAAAAAAAGCTTGAACCTTTAATGCTGGCAATGTAAATGATGCTTCGCCATCCTTCAAAAATGAACACGCCAGGCTTGTTAGGCATTCTACGCTGGAACTGAAAAAGGAAAAGTGAATAACATAACCTGCGAACAGGTCTTTTGTAGAAGGACGTTTGCTTGTGTGAGATTAAAATATTAAAGTGTTTACCATTCCAACTACTAAACAGTACATTGCTTTGCCTTTATTTCTTGAGCTACCGACAGAGTGAAAACAACGACGATGGCGAAAACGTCTCTTAAAAAGTACTTCATGCTGTTTTAAAATTAATTGCTCTTCTTCCATGGCGTTCAATTTGTCAAATGTTGCCGAATGTTTGTGGATTTGAATTCTAACGGACTGTATCTCCGTTTAACAAAAAGAATTAGGAAATCTTTACCTTCGTTCAAGTCCTTCAGAAAACGTGAAATAAGGCAGTTTCGGGTCGTGATCGTCCAACGACGGCAGAGAAATGTACAAAAGCGTAATGCAGGTGCAAAATTGCTGTTTTGCTGATTTAAACCTATTGAATTTTCACCGTTCTTGTTGCCGTCGCCCTTGCTTAACCTCCCTAGTTAAGACCCTGGTTAGTGTTCTGACCGGGGTTTGAACTAACAACCTACCGTTCAGCAGATCAGAGGTCTTGCAAATGAGTTACCGAGGTTGCGGTTGGCCTTGATAATTTTGCTCACAAAACCACGACTTAGAGGCAGATTTTCCAAACTCGACTGAACGTAAGGCAATTTGAGGATTACAAGACGTCACACCAGCACACACATACCTGGCTAAGAAAACATAGCTCTTCAAGAACGAAGCTAAGAACTGCATGGCCTCTAGACGCACCACCAGTGAGTTATCCCGTCTATTGGCACAGTGAGTGCACCAGCGTATAAGCCACGGTGAATCAAAAGCCACTTGCAACCCTGGAATCACCTCGGCAACAGAGTTGCTACTTGTTTGGCCGGGTGGGGTCAAATTCATGTTCCCTGTATTGACTTCTGTTGAGGATGGCCTCATTAATTCAACTACTTCCGGGAGGGGCGTATGAACACACACCACCATCCTTAAACAGGAAAGCACAGCTGTTTGTAGGTTTGGATCTGAATAGGAACAGAGAAAATGTCACGAAGAATTTATTTGGTACTTGAAGCCGAATTACTAATCGCTCTAATTCTCATCAACACACAGGGCGAGGGCAGGTTCAATCAATCAATCAATCAATCAATCAATAAAACTTTATTTATAGAGGGTAACACCAAAGGGTTAGACAACTAATAAACTTGTGGCCCTCAAAAACTGACAAGACAGTATACTCATTAGTAAGAGGTATTTTTGTCCCTAGCGGGGAATTTCCTGCAATGGTCTATACGGGGAGGCTCCACCCGGAGGGGTACCTTTTTAGGGCTTCAGATATATGAAAAAGAAGGGAATTCATTAGTTGAAGTATATGAAAAGGGTGGGGAAATCTGTCATTTCCGTGTGTAAAAAGACCCAAAGGTTCTACAAGATGCATTTTATGGCTGTAAGAAAGTCGAGAAACGTTCTGGTTTTGTGATTTATTCATATTGAAAAGACAGTGCTTTTGCAGCGGTTAAAAAGGATGAAAAAAGGTACGCAAAAGGGGTAGTCCGTACCATTTGTCAATTAAAAGTATACGAAGAGGTACCTTTTCCATCATGAAAATGGTATATAAGTTAGGGTAAGTGGTCGGACCTCGGGGCAGAGCCTCCCGTATAAAGCTTTGGTGAGTACCCCCCCGGGTATTTTTGCAGTCTTAACTTACCTTTGATTGCAAGAAGAGGTCTCAGCTGCAGAACAACCTTACTCAAAAGACCTGTTTTGAGTCTGTTATATGGCGAATTAAGAACCAGAATGGACAGACACTGTAATGGAATTTGACAACAGCCTAGTTAAATACTTACTGATGACATGAACTATTAATTAATTACTTTTCCTTTGGTTTATTCATTTATATTGCTTGTTAAATACTTACTGATAAAATTAAAATTAATTAATTGAAGACTTTTTCTCTTTCTTTCTTCATTTATACTGCTACTAGCGTACTACTTAAGTTTCCTCTGAGTAGTCTTATTATTCTTGTCTGACTTCACCTCTAGAATCAAATGTTGAGAAGAGTTCGAGGATGCGACCATTCTCTCTTTCATTGCTAAGGGAGTTCAAAGTCACATCAAACAAATTGTCCTGTAGATTTTGTACAAGAGGGAAATTGCCTTTGTCAAAGAGGCCTGCAAAGTCACTCTTACTGTCACTTGAATGGAGCCACATGGTGGATTTGTACAAATATGGCTACACTTGCAAAAATGTGCTTATGTTTCCCTTATATTGCTTGTAACTGCGAAATAACTGGCCCACTTTGCCTAAACCGAAAACCACTTTAACCCTTTCACGTCTAGACCCACACTCATGGACAACATAAATGGAAAACCTATACCCCATACCCTGGGTACCAGAGGTTGTTTCTCGATTGGGACGGGGAGCTTCATTTCATCGGCCGCAGGTTGACACGTGTTCGCGCGGCTTCGTTCTTGATTTGGGGGGATGGGGGTTTTCTGTTCCACTTTATGGTGTCCAAGATTGCAGATGAGACGACTTGTCTTGCTAACTTTAAAATCCACGAACGAAATCCAAAAGTGTTACCGTTTAAAAGAAACCTCTTTGGTTGAACTTTCACGAAGTTCCATGTAACTTTTAGGACTTAACCAGAAAAATTTGACTTAGGCCATAACTAGGGGTGAGAGTAAACCTATTCAACTTGTTTTACCTTGAGTATCTGAGCCTTAGTTGTAGCATGGGTTTCAGCCATCAATGCTTGTAAGAGGCATCTATGAAGCTCATGAACAATTCCGCTCAACTTTACCGAAAACGATGTGAAAGGACGAGCTGATGGCGAGGAGCTATGTTGATCTCTGTGACAAGAGAAAACTCTTTGAATGAACGGAAAATGAGAAGCGTTGCTAAAATATACATGATCAGAGGTTTAAACAAGGCAGATAAGTCTGAAGAATTTCTGTAACCTAAGTAGGGAGGCTGATAGAAATAATGGGTTTCATGCTGCAGGGGCACCCAACGACAATTTTCGGAAAAATATCTGTTCGGGAGACGATTTGAGATCTAGAATTTTCGGAACATTTGTTGTAAAATTTCTTGTTTGCCTGCCTCTCCTAGGATTTTCGGACATCTAAAAATTGGTATAATTGCCTATTTTTAACGGATTTTTACCCTAAAAAGGTCACCTAGAATTTTTGGGAGTCTTTTTTCTGGCTAAAACTTTCGAAAAGGTAAGTTTTGATCCCTATAATTTTCGGATCACTAGACTTTCAGCTAGGAAATCCGAACAGATGAAAAATTTTTAGGGGATAAAAATATGCCTATATCTACCGTTTAAATACTAAAATACGTTTAACAAGCTATCTTTAAGTGGTTTTGAACTATATTCTCGTTGGGTGCCCCTGATGCTGGCAAGGGAAAGGGTTAAAAAAAGAGATGAAACGGAGAGCAAAGAAGGCATGTGTTAACCTGGTCCCAGACGTTTTTCTTGAAATTTTTCTTCGCGAAAGAGAGAGCGAGTCGCAAAGAAAAATTTCAAGAAAAAAAAAAAAAAAAAACATAGCCTAAAACAGTTGATTCTTGTGATGGTGTTTATTACATTATCAGTTGAAGTGGTTAGACTGCTCACGACAGGATAAGGATCTAAAAATTTGACCATTTAAGCATTTAGAAAGAACAGCTGTTTGCTAATTATCATACTGGTGAACAGTACAGTACATAAACTCTAAGCGTGAAAGCATCTCTGCCATATCATATAAGATGTTGGCCTTCATAACAATACTATTAATGAGGGCCTCTTGGGGGTGCAGATTGAGGGGGTGGGAGTCATGAATGTTCCTTGTCTGAATTTCAAATACCGTCGCTTTACATTTTGAGGAGTAAACCATGTCCCTCACAATCTTTAACCGATCTTTATGTAGTCTGTCACCATTTCATCTGTTTTATGTCATTGTTTCAAGGCCATGTGTCTTGTCAGAACTTTACACTGACAGGGCCTCTTCAATTTCTTTATCCTCACCTGTCTTCAGCAGCAACCAAGAACTGTCTTGAACCATCTAACAAGTCCATCAGCACTGCTACACCACCAGCCCGACCCTGAGGGATATTGCACATAAACAAACAAAGAGTCAGAGGCAAAACAATTACAAACACTGAGCTCTGTGGAAACCTGTCTAGAATATCAGACCTCATTAGAATGAGAAGGCTGAAATTTGCTGGTCACTGCTACAGGGCTAACCCCAACAATGTATATCACACTGGTCAAACAGCCACTTAAGAGAGGCTCTCTTGGGGGTGGGGGAGGGGTACATTTGTCCCTGTTGTTTCGCACTTTGAAGATTAGGTCATGTCCCTGTCAGTATTAGCCTGTGAACAGCAGACGTTTCTCCTCGCATATCGCTGCTGAGGGACGTCACGCGAGGAGGAAAGTCTGCGACTCAGCGACAGAAATTCCATACTGATGACGCAAAATCTGTCCCAGATCCGGTCAGAAGCGCTAATTGGTTGACAGAGTAGTTTCATTGTTCTAGCTACTGTTTACAAATGACAGACAAAAGGCCACAAAGGTCAAATGTAAATGCGATGAATCTCTAACAAAACAGTCAATATTTGTGGAGTATAGTCTTCTCCAGAAGAAGCATTTGAGTTTTACTGGAGCTCATTAGCAGATAAACACAACACTTTTCCAAAATCGACCAGGAGAAAAGTAAAATTGAACAAATTTGCATTTGGAACCCCATGACTACCGGATTTATTATGTAAACATTGATTTACGTCATCAGTATGGAATTTCTGTCGCTGAGTTGCAGACGTTCCTCCTTGCCAAACGTCCCTCAGCAGCGATGAGCGAGAAGAAACGTCTGCCGTTCGCAGGCAACGTCAGTATTTAACCCATCTTTATTTCATTTTTCACCATTCCATCCAGACTTTTGTCGCTGTTTCAATGCCATGTTGCAGAGCATGTTGTCATCAAAGTACCCGGCAGGTTCCATCCTGTAGTTACAGGGAACTCAAAGAATGCCTAGACTACTCAGCAACAAGGTAATAATTAAACAACACTAACCTTTGGAGTAGGATCCTTGAGGATTGTAGTAAAAAGTGACCAAGAGGAAGACACAGTGTTATCAGGAACAAATGAAGACCAGTAACCAAACAACACTTTCTTGTCTGTTCTCTAAATGCACAAGTCATGACAACAATTAAATATGATTGTCATTAACTGGAAAATGATTGATTCTTTATTCATACTGATTAATGTTGGACATCATAATGACTAAGAAAGCATTGGACAATAATATTACATTGACCTAAAGGCCTGTATACATAAAAACAGGGAGGCCCAAAGGAAGTATTATACATGAATAGCAAAAAGGAAGTTTTATTCTTACAGGAATGAAGCATACATTTCCAAGTGAGCAAGAGAAGCCCAACTTGCCTTCTTAACAAACAAATAATCAGAAGACATGATTTGCTTCATCTTGCCCACCTGCATACCATGTAATAAAGTGAGAGTTTGACTATCCCTGGTACCCATGTGAAGATAAATGGTACTTACTTTAACAACAGCCTGAAGACACAGAAGCACATTAAGCCTGATCTTTGACATAATAGACCTGAAAGAAATAAGCACTGACATCAGCTCTGCTCTGTGGATAAAGTACACCTCCCTGACCAGAACAAAACCATTTTAATGAATTAAATTAATTATCAAGATTATTAATAATATTTTTAAGAGTACACAAAAGAAATTATCATGATTGTAATGTGCATGAAACAGAGGCCTCAAGATATTCTGTTTCCGTTTACAGCTACGGACGGGTATTAGCGGTAAATGGGTAGATTCCCTCTTAACACTTAGACATGGATAGGTATTTGGTAGAACGGTAATGCCACTATCACATCTGGCCCAGGTTGTTCAAATGTTGGATAGCACAATCCATCGGATAAATCATCATCTCATAGATAGGTATTAGGGAAACCCATGGCACCATCCACTGGATAGCGATTTATCTGGTGGATAGCGCTTTCCACTTTTTGAACACCTGGGGCCTGGTTTCTCTTTATTTGACCACATGGCAAATATGTACGCCTTCCCATACACATAGAAAAACAGTCTATGATAAGGTCCCAGCTATTCTAAATATTACCTTGAATTTGAGAAAGTAACTATATCTCAGTCACTGAAAAGCCACAAATCATCCACACATTTTTCAGTTTGGATACAATTACATGTCTCTGTGAACAACTAAGACCAAAACAAGTGGAAAATATGTGTTTCCAATATGTTTTAAAAAAAGTTTTGGTAGATTTTTAGCAGGTTTAGCCTTTTTTTGTCCCATAAGGTTATCTATTTTTTCTGTGTAGATGCGGTAAAATAAATATTAATTACCTTAGCCTCGCATTCTGCCCTGCTTCACTGTCTGAGTACTCCGAGTCAGAACTGGCAGACAAGCTTGATGAACTGTGATAGCCTGAAGATTCAGCTCCAGACCTTTCCTCACTGTCCTTGTTTGGATAAAAATTGCTGGTAACTGTAGACTGCATTGCATATCTTGATGGACTTGAGCCCGGTTGTTTTGCCTTGTGTGGAGGTGTACTACTCAAAGAGCACGCTGCAAAAGCAGGAGTCAATGCATCCACTGAGGAACTGTGTACAGTGGATTTTGGAGTTGTTGTAGCAATTGAAGAACTGTGTTCAACGGATTTAGAAGTTACTGCATTCATTTCAAAACTATTTGTGGAAAATTTGGGAGTCGAAGTTTCAGCTGATGAACTGTATTTGGCAGTATTTTGAGTTGACATAACCACAGAAGAACTGTGATCCACAGATGTGGGAGTCAATGCATCAACTGAAGAACTACATGTGGCAAATTGTGGAGTCAATGAATCCACTGATGAATTATGTGCATTAAATTTTGGAGTCAAAACATCTGTTAAAGAACTGTATGTGGTAAATTTAGGAGTTAGAGCATCCACTGAGGAAGAGCGTTCCACAAACTTAGGAGTTAGGGCATCTACTGAGGAGCTACCAGACAGAGTAGTTGCTTGTCGATGAGAGGGTACTGCAGCTGTATGTTTAGTCTTCTTATTGGCAGGACGCCGTTTCTTTCTTTTGCTCAGCATAGCATATTGACGGTCCTTTTGAGGTATTGTGCTCAGATGGACTGATGACAGATCATCAGGCTCAATAGCTGTAGAAGTTAAAAAGAAAAGAAAATTAAGCATTGTTCACAACTGCATATCATCATGGCACTGTTGTCTACTATAATTACAAGGATTTTACACTGATAAACATTTAATCTGCATTTTTGCATGATATTATCTCCATAACCAAAGCATTGTTGCCGAATATCTAGTTTACATGACTTCTGTCAAACTCCTTGTTTTTCTTCCATATTACTTTGATAAGTGTCTCTTTAAGTTTGCAAGTTAAACAAGGAGATACTAGATGTGGGATCAATAGTTGGTTAATCCTTAAGTTGAAAATGGGCTGAAGATGGGCTAAAGATGGGCTGTAGTGCCCTTTGCAGATCAGACATTTAGATTTAGATTTAGTGAACAACAATATTTTCCTCCTATTAACAACATTATACTGAATCAATAAAAAAGATTAAGAGAATCAAAATTATCACCAAATGGAAAATGCTTTGATTTTTTATCAAATTCTCCCAACTGTGTGGAATTTGTATGTGGATTATTTAGGGCCTTTTCCAGGTTAAATATCAAATTCAGTCATCTTCTGGGGGTATACATAATGGTAATAGGACTGAGAAGATCATGCCAGTGATTAACAAAATCGGAGTCCGGATTTTTGTTTAAGTTTAAATAGACACTGAATTAGAGGACACAAAGTTCTCTTACCAATTAATCATAAATATAACTAAATTTGTGATATATTAGGTTTTTTTAAATTAAAACACAAGAAATTCCTGGAGTTCTTTTTTGCTGGCAGTGAAAAAAAGCCATTTAAGTGCACGTGTGCTATGGCGCGTACTGTCCAATTACTTATGCATGATGAGTACTGTCCTGTTACACTGTCCTATTAGTGCTGAAATAAGGACAGTTGATAGCCAATCAGATTTGAGAATTTTGTTATAGTTATGATTAACAACTGCATTCTTATGACACTAGGAGACTGGAGCTCTTATATTTAGCCCATTGCAGGACTTATATAAGAAACTTCTCTATCAGTTTCCAAGGTCCTAAAATTCTTTAACTCCCTTAGTTTTGAAATTTGAAATGCAACAAGTATCACCTCGTTTCTCTGTAAGCTGACAGCATTCCTATTCATTTAAATTTTTGGCTTTATCTTTGCTTTTCATTTTCATTTTTTCCGTTTCGGTTTGCACTTTTAGCCCAACTATGATAAATACAATAATATTACTGTACATAGCTCTGCCATCATTTGATTTTGTTTGTTTGTTATAATTTATTTTGATATTCTTATAATTTATTAATTTTTGTTAGAATTCATCGCCTTTTCCTTACCTTTATGCCTTTTGTCTTTTGTCTGTCATTCGTAAACAATAGCTAAAACAATGTAACTACTCAATCAGCTTCCAGATTTTAAGTCATTAGTATGGAATTTTGTCACTTTGCAGACTTGCCATTAGGAGAAACGGATTTTTCGCAGGCTATATTTAATTATTTAGAACTTCTTCTTGTTTTGTATATTTTATGGCAAAATAATAAACTTGAACTTGAACTTCAATGACCGATTCTACTGATCTCAAAATTAGAACATGGTCAGAGATGGCATACGTTCAAAAAAGTTTTAGTAAACAGACACCATTTCTTCAATTCAATGAAGTAGTTGATTGATTTCAGAAAAAATTTATATCCTGCAAACAGACTTGAAAAGGAAAAAATTCTTGACTGGAGTTAATTTCAGTACTCATATATTCAAAATCACATTGCTTACCCCTCCATCTCAAAATTCAAATGATTAACCTTAAGTATCTTTCACTTCTTGAACATTTATATCAGCCTTTTAGTTTGTTCCATTACCTGACTTATCATGTAATCTGTTGCTGGCTTTCTCAGCATACTGTGGTTTGTAACCAGGCATTCCACAAAACATGTAATTCTAAAATAAAGGATTCACAGATGAGGCACTAGCCTGAGAGAACAGCTGACATTTTTCAAAACCACCACTGGTTGCCCTGTGAAATGACGTCTGAGAAATGAGTGCAGCAATTCCATACTCAGTCTGATGATGCTACATGACCCAGATCTTGGTAATGCTTCTGATTGGCTAGGACTAGATTCATGCAATCAGTAACACTACCCAGATCTGGGTAGAGACATGTCATCGGTATGGAATTGCTGCACTCGTTTCTCAGATGTCATTTTGCTGGGAAACCAATGCTGGCATTGCAAAACATCGGTTGTCTCCTCAGGCTAATAAGGCACTGAACACCAACTCAACAAACTTACATCTGACTCTTAATTCAGGGAAAATATTTTTGTGTTGCAATGATTTTATGCTTTGGTGAATCCAGTACAATGAATGCTTAGATTCCTCGTCCTGGGATTTGGGGTTTCAAGTTTCAGAGAAAAATTTTATTATTATTTCAGGTAAACTGTGTAATATAACATGACATTTATCTGCATTATAGGCCACTTTGAGGATGACGACATTGGATTACAACTACCAGAATTCATTGAACATTTTTGCTTTCTTATTTGTATTTGTCCATCCCGCTGAGATTTAAGCAACAATAGCCCTAATTTGCACCAGAAAACAACAAACTGAAGGATTCTGGTAGTCATAGTAAAATGATGTCATCATTCAATGTATTGCCCTGTTGCAATAATTTGGGGTATTTTTCCAGTCAATACTTCTCAGCTCATTTTTAACCTGAATTTTTTTTATTACACAGGTTTGTACATTATACAAACAAACAGTGCCCTACATGTACTTAATTTCAGTTTCACTGTCTTTTACCTTGAGAGCAGATAAGAGTGGTCCAAGATTTTGTTTCTGGCCTGAACAGTTAAGCAAAAGTACATGTGGGAAAATGCACAAAACTTTGTTAACAACCTAAAACAAAAATACAATATTATTAACTTTCAAATTGTACATGGAAGGTCTGTGGTATTTAACAGCATTTGTTTTCTGTTGAAGTAAACAGCCCAGTCAAAATGCTTTACTAAAAATAGAAGGCAGGATAACCAGCAGGGTTGTCACTAAGATTTCAAGTTGCCGGGTATTTGTTGTTAGTAGCCGGGGAAGTCGCTAGCAGTCGTGGAGCCCCCAGCTCTCCCAAGAAGTTTTTGAAGTGCAACTTCTACCGTTTTCCAAAAGGCATTACCGCCCCCAAAAAACAATCTTCATCAAGAGCAGAGCTATCATTGGCAGTTTTATGATGATCACGTCTTTATTAAAGAAAACTACAACATTCTGAGACACTAGAATATTAAGTTTTTATTTTACGTAAAGGCTCGTTGGGGGGGTTTTTTAGTGGCCGCCAAATGGGAATACATGTAAGCTCTGGGTCTGAAAAAGAACGAAACAACTTACAGAAATCAAAGGTAAAACTAATATTATTACAGATGAATTAACCCACGGAGGAGCGGAAAGAAGACAAGCGGTCGATGAATGTACGAAAAAGCATCACAAACATGAGGCTAATATGGTTTGTTGGAAAATAAATGATAAGGCGAAAACAAGCATAACATATGGAAAATTGCGGGATAAAATGTGGCAAAACTAAACTGCACAACTGGTAACATTAGTGGTCTCGAATTTAGGAACGAAACATCACTTAACATACGAAGAAACTGACCTATGGAAAAGCGTTTAAAAGACAGGGCTAATACTTTATAAACGTCGCTGAGATATCGAAACGAGACACGAGGAGAAGAATGCAAAAGTAATGCTAATGCTTAACTTCTCTTTTATATATAACTTCTTGAAAGTAGAACTGAGAGGATGTGACCTGCAGACAATGATCGAACATTTTCCATTGACCATACATTATTTTATATACTCGATACCAAAAGGTTAATTATGTAGATCTGGTCACTGACTAATGACAGTTTATTAAACATAGCAATCAGTCAGTCTTCATCTTCAAAGCCTTTGTCATAATCCTCATGATCATCAACATCAGCATCAGGGAAATTTAATGCTTGGATGAAGCCTCAACTTCTTCTGCGATGTCAACAGAGATCTACTCAGATCTTTCATCGTGAACAAAGAGTGCAGATTCCTTTGCCGCATCTTCGACATGTTCAACACAAAGCCGACACAACGGTTGAAACTTACATTTCGCGAACGGAGAGTTCTTGCGCGTGTGTACTAGTACCAAATCTAAGTAAGATGTCTTTCTTCGACATTTCTTAGTTTCCGCCCACGAGTTTTCCAAAATCACTTAAACCTGCTGAAGATGAAATTTGCACTTAGTATGATGCATAGTCTTTGTGTGTTTCAAAGGAGTGCTATAATTCAATGCTTATGTCCTTTTTAATGTAGAATTTTCTGGTGCTCTTTTGGTTTAATTTAAGAACGAAAGTAGCCGGGGACCATGCTCTGAGTAGCCGGGGGGAAATCCCCGGCCCCCGGCCCTTAGTGACAACCCTGACCAGTCAGCGTGTAGCAGGCATCAAAGGCCTAAACTTGTGTTGTTTATATTTTAATATTACTAAACGTTGTAATAAGTCCTATGTAGATGGTAAATTTATACAGTTGAGCCCCACTCTATGGACACCCACTTAACACGGACACCCATAAATAATGGACAGTTTCATTTGTCCCAACACTGAAAAATCTCATATGTTTTCTCTAAAAATAATCTGCTTAATATGGACACTTTGGCATGTCCCCGTGGTGTCCTTATTAACCAGGTTCCACTGTATCCCACTGGAAGAGGCAAAATTGCTGGTTGCCAGCTCATTATGACTGGGCTGTGTATGGTTCTTGTGTTGGACCATGAGTATTGACCCTTGTATTCCTTACATGACCCTTGTATCAATTAATGTAATAAGCAATTGGACAAAAATAAAAATTCCAGGAAATTGGCCAGAGAAATATGTAGTCCCCAAACATTGTAGCAATGCAACTTCTCATTAAAAATTTTTGCATCACTGTTTGCATTTGCATTTGGTCTGGCCCTTTCTGCCTTGTGCTTAGTCTGTTAGTAAGGGTTGATCTCATAGTACTACAAAACATTTTGAGAGGTCTGAGCACAACTTTTTAATAAAATAACTTTTGGATGCATCTAGTACCATTATAGACTTTAAAAAAACCCAGTGAATTTCAGACACAATGACACACACCATAAAATGTTCTATCTCCGTCCCACGTAGTTCAGGAGTTGAGCTTTGCAATAGTTCCAAGAGAAGAATAAATGCATTTGTGATGAATTTCTCCTCCATCACATTGCAAGCTGAATCAGGTGATGCCACGGAGCTAAACAGAAAAAAAAACATCACATAGGAAAAGACATTGATTCACTATTATTTTCCTTGATAGTGACAAGTACAAGAATATCCTACACAAATGGAGGCAAAATGCCAGGGGCCACCAAGCCCTGCTACAGCACAGCCTTGATTTTGAATGACTAAATCGCAAACATTATATTACTGTTGGTCTCATTACCAGTTTTTCTTATTTGCCGACAAGTCTTGCCAAGCAATGCTAGAAGATTTTGCTATCGGGCTAGTGAATTTTTGTTCTAGGTTTGCCCAATGGGCAGGTGAAGTTTTTTGAGGAATTCAAATTACAGAAGAACTGTGTAATCAAACCTGCTCATCATCATTTTGGGGCTAGTTAAAATGACTTTTTGGCTAGTGCATGCTAGCTACGGCTAGCCTGAATGGCAAGCTGTAAAACTGACATTCTTTGCACCCTGGTCTTATTAACTAGGTAAATCTGTGAACAAAATAATGACCAAGACCTCTGAAAGTTTATTACTGAGAGCCCACACAGAGGGAAAAGAAGAATGGTGAGAAATAGGTTTCCCAAGAAATAGGGAGGTGGAAATTAACACTATACAAAGCTTACTGCAATAGCTGCACACCCAGTAAACAGGAAACACTTGTTATTTCAAGTTATTGTTAAGAAAAATTACTGTTATGACTTACTTGGTACACATATTTGCAACACATTGAATGGTACCACAAAGAACATCAGTGTCCTGTGACTCATCTTTACACAGTCTTACCAAGACACCATCTGCACCCAACAGGCTGTCAGCGCACTGTGATTTAAAAATGGAATTGCTGCTTAGAAACAACTATTATACAGCTAGTTTTTAATTAATTCAGAGCTAATTCCAGTAGTAAGCCACAAGCAAATAAAAACAAATAAAAAAATTTAATAGATTAAGTGTCCTTATGTAGTCATGGATTTAAATAGTTGTACAGTTTCTCAGGGGTGCACTTTAATATTGGAGCCTTGCTCTGTTGTGTGAGACTCACCATTTTTTTCTGTTTTTGCTTGGTAAAGGATTTTTGGGATCATTTTGAGTTTTTGGGAAACTGCCCACCGACCCCTCCCCTAAGCTAGCTTGCAGAGCAGAAGTTTTTTTCACGGAAACTCAGAAGTACATTGATCCCCTTTCCTACCTTAACCCTTTAAGTCCCAAGAGTGATCAACATCAATTCTCCTCGCAAGATAAATACATTATCAAAAGAAAAGGTTAGGAGATTTAATAAAATGATCACCTCAGGGAAACCGCTTTGACCTTTTATCAAATTCTCTCAACTAGTTCTTTAAGGAAATGTATGGAGATCACTTTGGAGAATTTGTAAGTGGATATCGGGGCTTAAAGGGTTAAACCCATCAACCTCTACCTTGAAATCAGTTTTTGACTCACCCCAACTGTCTGACAGTTTTAACATCCAAGATGGCGGGATAGCATTATCCCCCCAAAAATCATGGATCAGGCTGCAAAATACACCTACTTTGCAGGCTCCCCTAAGCCAACAATCATAATACTTCTCACTTAGGGCAATATGTTGGGTTGGGGGAGGGGTTGGTGGGCAGTTTTCCAGAAACCTAAATTGACACCTTCTTTAAAATAAAAGAAAAGAAAAGCTGTCTTACCTCATGGCAAAATTGTCCATTTTCATAAAGAGTAGCTGCCAAAGCTTTAACAAGATTCAGCTGGGTCCACTTTTTGCAATTATTCAAGGAGTTAACAAGGAATGGTATGAGAACATTCAGTGTTTCTTGGTTAAGGGAGATCTGTTAACAAAACAGTATCATCAGAAACACTCACCTTGTCTGATGAGAAATGTTTCCCAATACAGAGCAAAGATTTAGGTAGGTCAACATATATTGTCAGTCTCTTAGATTTCCGAATAAACCAAAACTTTCATCTAACTTGAGGTATGAAATTTTCGCTGGAATTTGATTTTACAGATTGCTAATTTTTCACATTTCACAGGAACAAATTTTTGCAAATTCACATTTCAAACTTAACAACTAAGAACAAATTTCTTGGTTGTTAGTGTCCAAGAAAATCTGGTAATGTGCAATCAGCCAACCAAAATTTAGCTATCCTAGAAAGGAATAAGTTTTTGTGGCTTCTTTTTTTCCATAATTTTGTGGGATCTTACTGTTGTGGATCATCAGAAAACCTGTGAAAAATAGTGAAAAGTGGATCCCGTGAAAAGCTCATGTCACAGTAAGCTTAGAACTTCTATTATGTTTTGGAAAGGTACAGAATGTCATTCATGTGCAAGACTTCCTACCTTTTGCTTTGCTATTAGATTGACTATGAGTTGACAGAACTTGGTGATGAGAAAGTCATCAGTTCCACAGGAGCAAACAAGTGTACAACATTTGGACAGCAGTGGTAAAGCATCCTGCATTTTAGACAGTCAATTAGCAATAATAATAATAATTTCCGTTATTTACCCTGGGCAGTATTTATAAATTATCACTAATGCTAGTGTGGCCAAGCAAATGCCTGAAACAAAGAACTTTAATCAAACAGAATGGAGTTAAGAATCCCAACTGGCTGGCGGCAAACCAGTTGGCTATTTACAAGCATGGTTGCAGGAGGATTTGAACTCAGGATTACCAGGAACAAATCCACCTACACTGTAGCAATCAGTGAAGCACTTGGACTCAGCGCTCTCGGCCTCCTCCTCCTCCTGATACAAGGTTGGTTTAGTCACCCGAGATTAGTTGACCAGCCAACCACCAAAAACCTATTATTTCCAGTAATATTGTAATTTTAAAGTGAGTTTTGCTATATCTTTTCTTGAAAGCATAAACAAGCTACCATTTCTATGCAATTCAGGTACAATAATAAATTTTAAAAAATGCTACCCAAGATATTTCTTTAATGTTAGATCAACTTATATAATAACCTTTATGACCTGCATGATAATGCCATACTGGAATGGTGTTCAGGTTTGGAATAAAAATAACAGATAACGTATTCCCGCCCACCCACCGCCAAATGTAAAAAATTGAAAACTTTCCCCCTAAAATATAACGTAAACAAACAAAAAAAACGACTCCCCCTTCCTCAAACTCTCACGCCCTGTCAACCCTAATGCACCTATTAATGTAAACCCTGTGGAGGGGGGAGTGCAAGCAATAGATGTGGATTCAATAAAAAATCCATTCCCTGGGTGGGAGATTTGATCAAGTACACTTGCTTGGGGGATGGGGCTTTTGATTGTTTCAGGAGAGAAACTGTTAATTTTCATTTAACCAAGGTTGATTCTCACTTTCCAATGTCTCCTAGTCTGTTGAAGACAAAGGAAATTGAAAATCAACCAAGGTTAAAAACTTTTAACCTGAAATCAAATTTGACCTGTAACAAGTTAAAAATTACATTTTTTCCTGCTATGCCTTTTTTTCTTTGTCATCACCACAGTTTGTGTGTTATTTCTTATCAAGCTACAATGACCAAAGAACAATTTATAGTATTTACAATATAGTTCAAATCAGTTTTGTGATATTCATTATGAAAGGTATAGGCTCCTAGTTGGGCATTTTTAACTTTATCTGATGAATGAATCCTTTGCCACCCTCGGGAAATGGACCAAAATTATGAAATTTTAATCAAATCCCCAACCCTTTGCCCACACCCCCCCCAGCCCCCCCCTGACCCTGGCCTGAGAAAACAGCCAACATTTGGTGATGCTACCACTGGTTTCCCCGCCAAATGACGTCAGAGAGACGAGAGCAGAAATTCCACACTGATGATGCATCACTACCCAGATCTGGGAAGTGCTTCTGATTGGTTGAATCAAATTTCCCACGTGGCACGACCAATCAGAAGCACTACCCAGATCTGGGTAGTGACATGTCATCAGTATGGAATTTCTGCGCTCGTTTCTCAGGCGTCATTTGGCAGGGAAACCAGTGGTAGCATCACCAAATGTCCAAACCCCCCCTTAGGGTTTACACTGATAGGTGCATACATTCGACTGGGCATGAGAATTCTCCATGGTTGAAACTGGTTGTCCTGTAGTAATGAATTGAACGGGGTTTCTAAAATAGCTCCCACAATAAGCCCATTTGTTAAAACACAGTTAAAACAATATTTCTCTGAACTTAATAACCCAACTTTTCTAACATGTTTTAAAAATATAAGCGAACCTCTTTGTTGTCGACAACATTTGTTGCGTAGTCTAAAGAATTGAGTTCATCCAGGATAACATTGAGGTTTGTGACCAAACTTCCACTAGCTGACGACTGCTGTAGATTCAGTATTCTACCGGCTGCGTCCTTCCAGTGCAGTTTGTCATCTATAAAAGACATTGTAGCTGCTTTTCTCAGTCTTGAGCATTATAAATTTGTTTTTCCGCAAATGAACAACCCTTTTGACATTTTCATATCGTCGAAACTACAGTGTGCATGCCGTACACAGCCCCATTTTTGTATCCCGTGCGCAGAGTAAAGGAGCCCACGGTGTTTCTGGTGATAAGTGGTTAGATGTGTCATTTATGGCAAACGAAATATATCAATCTACGAACACTCAGATGACGTGACCTAACGCAACATGACACGCGCTTGAGAGAGAGTTTGGCGGATTTCAGGGCCTGGGCGGATTTGTTGGTTGGGCGGGGGGCCGGGGGTGAATGGAGGGACAGTCTGTCTATTTTTCAGCATTATTGGACCTAAAATGCGAAATTAATGGCCTGGTCCAAAAGTGCACGGAATGCCAAGTTTTGACCTGTTGAGCATGACAAGGAGACAAGAAACCATTAGTGGCAAAAGTGGTAATCTCGGCGCGTGGAGCTACAAAACATCCGCGCGTAAAGAAAGTTACAAAATTATCGTCATCAATTAACAGACTATTCATGACGTCAATCTTGATTGATTTTTCAGAGTTCTTTATCATTGTTTATAACAAGGTTAAGGTATTACATGTTTCAGTTACAGTGAGGTAAAAAGAGATTAGAATGAAGCTGTTTAAAGCAGTTTGCTTCATTTGTTTTTTGCTCGTACTCTTGACGCCATCATTCGCCTTAGAAGGCCGCCATTTTGAAGACGAAACTGGAGAAGAATTTGAAGGAGCAGGTTACCCTCCACTGTATTATATATCGCCCAACTCAGGCAACTCGGGTAAGCAGTCTTTCAAAATTTTCTTCTCTCTTTGAAGCAAAAAGTGCAATCTTCGTTTTGCTATAAATGGAGCTTACATTTCATCCCAAATTTCAGAGAAAAAACTGGTAACCAGCGACTAACTTCAAAATTGTTCTGTTTTTCAAGAATATCGCCAGAAACTTTTCTGTCACCAATTCAATCTCCCTATTTTAACTTATCGTTAACCTGGAAAAAGATAACTCATTCCACTGAAAAGCATCCAAATCAATGTAACAGCAATGCCTTTTACGCAATTACAGAATTTGTCTAAACTAATGCTGGTTGTCAAAGCATACTTTTTAGCACTGGCTGTTCTTTTTTTTCTGATTGCAGCTTTCGCAAGTTTTGCTACGGCAGTTTATTGGATTTCAACGGGTGGGCTTTTCTAAGGGAATTAGGAACGGCTAGCTAATCGGGACAGAATTTTCACGTCAGGCGAAATATCGACCATAAAAGTTCACAAGAATAATGAGCAGGAGAACCCTCGGGTACTCACTCTTACTGAAAATATTCCAGGAACGTTTTAATTCTTTGCTTCTAACTGGTCAAAAAATAAAATATTTTCTAAATTAAAATGAGTTTGGGATTCCTTAATAGTTTTTCTTGTAGACTCCAGTCTCAATTAGCTGTGCATGGGTGTTCGAGGTCCAAGATGAGCAACCTTGGGAAATATGACCTCGTGAATAATTCGTAAAGACGGTAAAGCGAGTGGAAAATAATAGTCGCAAAAGTAGATTTTTCACGTCAAAACAGCTCATCATAGCAAAGTGGATATGAATTTCCACCAATAACGATTGAGAACAGCGAACTTTGTTTGATTGGATGAGAAGATTAACTGCCACATTTTATTTAACCAGGAACCCCCTGACTATTTTCGAATCCCCCATAATACATTCTGTTTGCCCCCCAAATTTTGCGAAAGTTATTGTCTTCCATTGCTCTTGGGAAAATGCAGTACTCCCAGGAGCATTTGAAAAAAATGGTTTTTGCAAAAGTTTGGGGGGGGGGGGGCAAATATAGTGTATTATGGGGGATTCGAAAAAAGAGAATAACTCGGCCTCTTCCCGGGCTCCTGGGTTAGCAGACTTTTGTAAATTCAGCAAGTTTCGCCGGAAAATAAACTTAAAATAGGCCGACTGTTTAACGCACTGTGATTACCTAGCCGATGGTCAAGGGCTCCTGCTGAAAAACATGTAAACGGAAAGATTGAATAAAAACAGGGGACATAAAAACAGTCTTGACGTTTACTCAAATCTTTGAATGGACATAACAGAGATAAGAACGCGAAGAGTTAATTTTGCATTAATTCTTTTTTCTTTTCAGAATGGAAGAAGAACGCGCCATATGAAATTGGCTATCCGCTGTTCTACAGCCTACTTATAGTTCTACCACTGCTACCATTCCTATGTTTTATGATTCCTAACGAAGAATCTCTTCTGCTACAGGTACGTGGCCAGAGTTGATTATAGATCCTCTTACTATCCCAGGGAGATGCACTGCGACCAAGCTTGATTAAAGATACTTCAGGACATAATAAAACGATACAATAATATGGAGCATGTTAAATTACATATACAGTTTGGCCTTTGCGTTATTTTAATTCAACCTTAAAATAGATAGATTCTTTCAGTAGTTTTGACTCTAATACCGGGCATTACCTTTGCCTTACAGCAAGAGAATGAACGAAAGAGACAGCAAGAAATTGACCGCGAGCATCAGGAAGAAAGTGAACGCGCAGAAGAAGACGAAAGTTTAACCGACACCGACGATGAAGAATACCATGACCCGGAAATTCGGCCCAGTGATATGATTCCCCAGACCTCTAGCATCTGCTCTAGGAGCGCAAGTTTTATCGGGAAGAGATTGGCCACGGCAGCTCATGTGACAAAGCTCGAGTTACGCGCACCACGTGTTGTCATGGAGACATCTTCCAAACACAAGAGCGAGGAAGGCAAGGTTACTGTGCATGAGCAGCTCCCTGATGCACGTGACAGTGTTGAACGGCTGAAGGAACTGGGAGCTAGGATTTGTCCCGAATCTGCAGCAGGGTGAGTTAAATATGGAAAATGAGATGTTAGTATAAATCAGGAGCCTGCATAAATTTTTAAGAAGAATATCAAGTTACATTGCTCAAACCCCAAGGTTAAATGAATTAACTTCAAACTAAAAGGCAAATAGTCAGGCTGCCTCTTTCAAGTTCTCTCATAAGGCCAGTTATTCTGTAAACAAAGTCTAACTTAAGCCGCGGTTTAACAAACCTTTGGACCTGCAGATCTCTTCCTTAGGGCGTCATTTTAAGAAGATAAATGCTTTCAGTCTAGTCTACTCTATATACTTTCATAAAACTGTTCACGATAAATGGTGTTCAGATAAAACCGTTGGGCAAATTAAAAATGGCTTAGAACGTGGTTTTGTTGAACATTGGCGAAACTACGTTTAATGATAACTGGCCCATGGAGTCTAGGAAAAACCACATACAAACTATAACCAACTACCTTTTCTACTATCATAGGCGTACGGGCCGGGGGGGCGAGGGTGGCTGCAGCCCCCCCAAATTTTGGGCAACTCAGATTTTTTGGACAGCGAGAGAAAATTTGGGCAAAGCCAGTTTTTTAAGATGTTTCCGTGTTTTTTAAATCATTATTTTGAAGAGATAAATATTTTCTATTTTAACCTGACGTTGGCGTAATAATCCAGTTCTGTTACATTTACAGGAGACAGTGGTTGCCTAGCACCTAATGAGTTTCTGGTTATAAGGGAAGGGTATCATGTGCTGTTTTTTTTTTTTTATTGTTGGGCACTGTACTGCAATGGGCAATTTCCAGTCGTGAATTGATTAGACTAAATCTAGAATCATCTCCACTCGTAGAACAGTGTATGGCAGATAGCATCAGCAATGGGTCTGAAAGTGAAGAAGTGGCTGACTAATTCTCAGTTTGAATTACGCGAAGAATCGTATTTTTTAAACAAAAAAATCTATCGAGTGGTTTAAAGATTATTCACTAATTTGTTAAAGTATATAGACCGAAATGTTTACAAAACCGCTAACAAGAGCGCCATGATACATACTAAACACTCAAATCCTTTTTTGACCAGAGCTATCTCCATGATCTTTTACCCACGTTTTAAAAAGATTGAAACTACTATGAGGTGAAATTGCATGTCAAAAGCGCTTCGTTTTCTACAGATAACGGCCAAACAGCAAGATTTTCCTTTTTTACCGTATTTCTAACGATAAAAACTTTATACCAAAATATCTCCGCAACGCTCTTACAGATTCCGTTTTAATTTCACGAACATCGAGGCGACTATTGGAGGAAAATGCTTCCGTGAACGATTTTGGAAGAACAGTTCCCAGTGAGAAATGTTGCTGCAAGTATAATAGGTAATGGCATCATTTGGTTGCTATGACAACTCCGATGTTATTTCAACCCGGATCATAACAAATTTTCATCTTTATCTAATACAACTGTGGTGACAATTTTTCCAAATGTTTGTTTATGGTCTTGTAGTCTATGCTCAAAAAAACTTCACAGGTATTGACCCTGAAAAACTGTATCGAGCCACTTTCATATGCTAGTACGGCCTATGTTGTTGCATCTTATGGCCCTTGTTTCTGTTCGACTGTTTTGTAAACATTTGGGCAACTTGCAAGAATTTTTTGGGCAAATGGTTTACCGCCCCCCCCTGACAAAAAATTGCCCCTACGCCTATGTCTACTATGGCAAGTATTCTTGTAAGATTTTATTCATGAAAGTTATCACCGCATAACTTTTAACCCAAATATATATCTACGTGTATAACTTTTAGGTTCAACCAAACAATCATCAATGAAGCATCTTAGGTGGCAATCTTTACATTTATTTTTTAGGAAAGCTTGTGTTGCAGTAGCCTCTGGCGTCCTGATTTCATACGGAATTTATCGCCTTTTCTCGTAAGTTGTACCGTTCGTAGAGGGTTCCTAATAGGCTTTTCGGTATCCAGGATTCCCTTAATTGAAGCTCGGGATTGGGGATTTTGAAGCAAAATGCGGGCAAGATTCGGGATTGAAAAGTATGCGCAGGAAGTTGGATGCCAAAAATAGCCATCGAGATCACGGGATTGAAGAACCCTATTGGGGACCGTGTTCGTAGTTTTCCTCTAAATTGTTCGAGAGAGTGAGGACTTATTACGAGCTATTGAGATATCGCCGCGAATGACTAGATAGGAATTGACCGAGAAGCGGAATACTTACGGAGAATAAACGGAGCACAGGGGTACTCACCATTTAACTGAGATAACCAAATTCCATTTAAATGGATCGACATTCCGTTTGGAAATTCCTATGGTCGGTGATTTGAAAATTTTTCCGTAAGATCGTCGGATCTTTGCGTTTCGGCATCTTGCATGATTCAAAACTACTTTGGGGCGGTTTTTAAATCCCCGACGCCCGCCCCTCGGTACATGGCTGTCAAAAAGACGCGCTATGGTCTGTGAACAGTCTAGTGATTTGGGGCGATGTAATTTTTCTACCCTTTTTGGTAATTTGGATATACTTTGTAGCGGGCCGTTCTCCCACCACGTCTTAATTTCATAGTTTTATGTCCATGCCCAACATTTCCTCCCGGGTGGTTTGTGTAAATGGTAAGATACGAGATAAGAAACTGGATTCTGAAAGTTCAAGCTCATTTTCTCAGTGAAAAACAGTGGGGGGTAAAAAATGAGAACAAGACTTACAAATGCGATTGTTCAGATGTATTTTATGACAGATTTTGACATCATTGGCCCCATCAGGCCGGAGTCTGTCCACGAAAACCCCTCTACCATCTCACTCAGGGTTCATTTGATAATTCTGACAATAACCATGAAAGGAGGCTACGTGGCCAAGTGGTTAGTGCGCTGGACTTGTAATTCGGAAGCCCTGACCGGTAGCCTGTGTACAGCCGCCCCTGTACACAGGCTACTGACCGCTAGATGGATTTGTTCTCGGTAGTCCCGAGTTGAAATCCTCAGCCATGCGGTTGTAAAAAAGACAACTGGTTCACCTCCTACCAGCTGGGATTGTTAACCTGCATGTTATGTTCCATATAAATTAATTTTTTCATTATCCCTGAAAAGCCCCACATGGTAGTTACATGAAATGACATCAATCTGAGAAGTGATTGGAATAATACTAGGGCATGTAGATTCAGCTAAATTTAAGCCAAAAAACTTGGCACCTAATAAGTCTTCGTCAAAACACTCGAAGTTTTTGAATAACTGTTATTTTCAATTACACGACAACGCGTCTAAAAGAATACTGTTTCGTTTTCTTTACAGGAAATAACTGATTTACTTTGGATACCTGGATACTGGAGAAACAAATTGTAAATCCCTTCTACTCGTTAATACAGACCATGTACTACGTTTTTACTCTTTCTGGAGAGAAAACAGTTCATATTTTTATTTTCATATTTATTAAATTATTATTTTCGACGAAAAAGGGTTGTTTTTTGTAGCCTGCGAATATACCGCCGTTCTCTCGAAATTTCTTCTTGGACACCCGTAGCAGTTGTCAGAATTCTCTTTTCCACATATGTCCTCCTTACCTTTTTCTTCCCATTAAACATAATTTATGTCCACTTTAACCCTCCCTCCCCAACCTTATCGTTTTCCCGCTTAAAGAATGATTTCCCCCTCGTCACTTGTCTCTTGTTTTAATCCTTTTCATAGCCTAAGGGTTACCTTCGCAACCCGGCCCCTTCCAACGGAATGAACCTCACAAAAATCACCATCTTGAGTGTTCACTATCGCAAAGAGGGTGTTGAAGGATAATGTGAAAAGTGCGGCAATTTTTTTTTTCTTTTGATCGATGGCATTAAATTGGTTTATACAACTGAATTTTACTTAACTAGTACGTGTAACAATTTCTTTCAAGCTGCACGCTGAACCCAAACGACAACTGAGCAATTTACTCAGGAAACTGATAGCCCATGGATACCAGCATTAGTTACTATAACAGTTGCTTTGCATAAATAAAGATTACCCGTCCCGCTAATACAACGTCAACCCTATTTCAACTAGTCATTTCCGAAGTCAATTTGCCAGTTTAGAAAGGGCGACTTTACGTTCGCAAAGACTTCTGGGACTGTCACTGCGCGAAAAAATGAGCAACGACCCCGAAAGTTGACCCGAAGTAAAACATCATAAAAATCGAAGATTATAATTAATAACCTACAGAGTTTCTAAATTATTTCTGAGTTTTTCCCAAGACTCAGGTTTCGGATTATATACAATGAACTGACAAAGTTAACTAAGTCCAAGTTTCTCTTTCCATTCCTTCAGCGCATTCAAAGAGACAATATTTCCGCCGCAGACTATCACGAGAGCTGATTTTAATTCCCCAAGCTTTCCTTGCTCCTGCCAGACCTTGAAAAGACGTTCATACACACAGGCAAGCGATGCACCGCACGCCGGTTCAACAAGCATGCGGTGGTCGTCTGAAAACGAAAAAAAACTTGAGGTTTATGTATGATGACACTAACATTTAATAAAAACATAGATACAATTAACTAACTTGGCTTGACTGAGAGAAAGTTTGGCTAATAGAAAGAGATTCATGAGACCGTCGGAGGACCGAACGTTAGCTCTGAGGCAGAGTGAATTATAACACTCGCGAGAAAACTTTAAGTTAGCTTTCGCTACTCCTTACGAAGCTCATAAGACAGGCGCTTTTTATCCAAAAAAACAAGTTTTTCTGGCCTGGAAAAAAGCTTTTACTTTTTGCATAAAAAATTGCAATTTTGTGGGCTTTGGAAATCACACCTTAATTTTTCCAGCCAACAAAGAAAATGGCGGCTAAACCCGACGCAAGTGGTGACGTGAGGAGACAACTCCGCTCTTCTCTCGAACGTCACGTCTTCTCGGGGAATCAGCGACACTTCGCGCGCCTTAATATCCATTTGGCATAAAAGGGGGGGGGCTACCCGTCGGTTATCCAAGTACGGCATTGAACTGTTGAAGGCCTCTTAGAGGTCTATTGTTGCCAAATTCTCATGAATTCTGAAAGCTTCTGAACTATACATCTGTGAGATTCCTGGTCGAATTTATACGATGCCACATACTTAGGGGACGGACCGTTAGAAAAGTGATGCAAGGGTGGAGTCAAAAACCTAAAAACATTCATGCATACTGGAACTACGAAAATAACCTCGCAAAAAGAACGTTCCCCGTTTCATACGCATATTTTGTGTTTAAAAAACTGTACGGGGAGGTTTCCTCGACGCTAACTTTGCTTGAATTGACGAAAACAAGACAAACTGTATCTTTTGATGTGTGAATTTTAACTTGCCTTACCAGTATTCTACCACCACGTACAGGGCCTCAGCTGTCTGCCTTCCATTTTTAAGTGTCTTTTGAGAGCTAATCATGGCCGAAAACAAATTCGTGCCGAGGATCACACTTGGAAAATGTCCCCCAGTCACTTTGCAAGACAAGTTCACTTCGCTTCGCTTCTTTATACGATGCGCATTTTGCTGGTATTACTATTCATCACATTTTGAAACCTTAAGAAGGTGCGTTTTCTTTTTTGACGATCCCGTTATCAGCTTGACGCACAACCTCTAAGTCCATCGAATTTTTTAAGGCTTAACGGTTTTTTCCGAAAAAGTCTCAGCCCGCTCCTGGCGAAATTTCCGGCTTTTGGCGGGGAGATTGACTGCGTTCGTAAGGAAGGTTGAAGTTTTCATCAAAGCAGTAAGTTAGCCACTTATGCACCATACAACAACACCCTTTTTACCTGCAAATCGTTCGCAAGCTAACACAGCTTCCTGGTCACTGCACACGTGATTAATAATTTTGTGATCCTGAGTCCATTCCAACGCTTTAGCGGCCACTGTCCTTGCACCAAGGCATTTTGCCACGCTGTTAAAAAGAAGAACAGGACATTTTGTAATGACTAATTTACTTTGAAACACAATTCTGTGACTTCTGTTACATCAGTCACGTCTGGGCTAATCTGGCAATGGGTACAGATAACAAAATAGAGCGATCAGATATTAAATCTACTCTGCTTTTTAAGCATGTACCAAGTGGTTCGCGCCCCTGATATTCGCGTGGTTGGTTTGCTTACGTCCCCGAAACGCCCCCAAGAAAATCACCAATCCGCCCTCTCTTTTCCCTAAGTTCCTTTCCCACCCCTGTCAATGCCTGCCACACCGGTATCCCAGCTTAAGGCCACTAGACCAGCTCACCTCTAGCTATAACAAGGATATGCCAAAAGATTTTCCTTTATAATAATTGGCCTAGTTAAAAACAAACAAGTAGGAAAGTTTTATTCTACTGTACAATGCTTTTGGTACCACTAGTGAAAATCTGTCATGACATAAGTGTTACACGCGCAATACTAAGTGAAAGTTACTTTAAAAACATATTCCTTTTAGACGGTTTTCAAACAAACCTTGTGATGGCATCTAAGGTAACAAGTTCCCCTGCCTGAACAGCTGCATCAAAACTATCTGCACCTTTGGTTTCCATGGCAATAAGGGGGACATCAGCCCATCCAACATCATGCATGCCTTGTAGTACACCAGACATAAGTCCACCACCCCCAACAGAAACCACGACCACACTTGGCTTCTCAGGTAGCTGTTCTGCTGATTCATGAATGACAGTTGCCACACCCTCCCTGAAGAGAGAATGTCCAAGATAGGCAAAGGCTTCATTTGAATAAATATAAGAGTAGTCATTCAATGACATTAATTTTTTATAAAGCCATTAGAAAAAAGCTATTCGTACACAAATGGAACAAGGAATAAAAGAAAATGACTCACAACTTGTTTGAGTAGAGGTGAAAATTTTTAAAGCAAATGAAAAGCAAAGAGCTGATAAAAGTAAAACCCATGAGGAAATGGAGTTTGATCCATGATTTATCAAATGAATCGAAAACCACTCTAAGGTTAACTCTAGCCTAGCCCACAGATACAGCCACCTTCCATTGTTCACTGCTGCTACGGGACATATCACAAAAATTCCATAGTGGTGGTAAGATAGCTGAGCGAGGCAATATTAGTTTGAAAACTCTAAGTAAAACACAGAACGCTAGTGACTATAACCTTTACCAAAAACTCTACCAGTCATTAAAAACCATGACATACCAGACATCAGGGTGATTAAAGGGTGGAATATAAGCATAGCCTGAAAAGAAAAACACCACAGCTGCAGCTAAGTAACGTAAAAGAAATGGTTCCAACTTCATAACTATATGTAGTCAGTAGCAGTTATCAATTTTTGATTTTTTGATAACAATAACAGGAGCAGAAACTTCAAATTACCTGGTTGTTTAGCAAGCTTCACCGCCAGGGCATCAGCATCATCCCAAGACTATGACAATATTAAAAAATGTATCTATCAGTGTAAAAGCCAGAAAACAATGAAAAGTATGAAGAAGTTGGGAATGTATAACAGTGGACCCATTTGTCAGTACCCAAGGGCTTATCTGGGTTTTCATATCCCCAAAGGATTCATAGGAACCTGTACCACTGCAAAATTCAAAACCCAACAAAATGACTACCCCAAAATTGTGTACTCTCGCTGGCAGTACATGGCATTACCCACAACACAGGAATAACGTGCAAAAAAATTGTTCCAAAAAAACATGCTAGCTGGCCCAAAAGGGGGGAAGTGACTAGCCAACCCACCCAATCCACCTCACCTGGATCCACTCCTTCGTGCCCCCCCAATCTACTTATCACGTGAAAAACAAACAACTCACATCACCACATATTTCAACTGTGGCCCCTTCTTCTCGCAGTCTTTCCACCATAAACATTGGTGTTGTTCCAGGTACCACTATGGTGCATGGGATTTTGAGCTTCCTTGCTGAATAAGCTGCTGCTAGCCCAGCATTACCTCCTACAGTGAAACAGAGGACAAAACAGTTTCTGAAACTCCATTTAGCATTTTTGATCGAAGTTGAACTTTTTGAAACCACATGGTCGTCAGCATGACATTTCCCTATGGTGGTAATCCAAATATTTCAGTGGTAGTGCATCATCTTATGTGCAGGATGGAACTTTATGGAAAAACACTTCAATGCCTATTCTACGTTTTATTAAGATACCTACTTATCTTTCCCAGTATACAATGACATACTTCTATAGACCAGAACTTGCTGATACTTTTTTAATCCTATCCCAAACTAAACAGTTTTAACACTGAACTCAGAACAACAGGCAGATACCAGTATTCCTCCCTTAACTCAATATCTTTTTTAATGGAAAGATAAATAAATATTGTGGAACTGTTTTAAGAATGGTGAGCTAATTAGGGCACTGTTTGAATGCCTGTACCAACCAAGCCTTACTGGTCTGCAACCTTTTCAACTGGACTAATCAAGAATCAAGCTTTTCCACTTGGGGAAACCTTATGCAGTAGAAGTGTTATGGATACATTAGATGGGTCAAATATTATATGATTTTTGGTTAGTTTTGGTTCAAGCTAGATTGATTCTCAATTTCCCTTGTTTCCTTAGCTTGCCCCAGGAGACAAAGAAAACTTGAGAATCAACCTAAGTTAAGAAATTTTTACCTGAAATCAAATTTGACCTATATATACAAAAGTTATACCTGATGAACAAACCATGTGAGTGCAACCTCTTTGCATTGCCTGTAAATAAAAAGAAGAAAGAAAGGAAGTGGCAAATCAATCTCCCTTTGTGTGTGTTGTCCTTTAAGATTTCTCAGATCAATCAATTGACACTAATGTGTAACTGAATTCACAAGAAGAACTTTGAAGTCCCAAACAGTGAATAAACCTCCAAAGGCTTATAATTTATCACAGAAATAGGGGCAGATCTAGGGCGTTTTCCATTTACCAAAAACTTTGAGAAACTTCCATGGAAAGGAATAATAGCCTGTGTACAGCCACCCCTCCCCTCAAAAAAATCGGAAAGGAGCTCCTTTCCGATTTTTCTGAGGGGAGGAGGGGCTTTACACAGAGTGAATAACATGTTCCATTTCACTCAAGTTCCAGCCGTTTATGCTCTTGTCACCAAATTCAAGATGGTGGCACAGTTATCGCTGTGAATAGCCGGGAACAGGTGATTACATGCCAGAAAACTCATGAATGGAACATGCATTTCCACCCGAAAGTTCCAGCAGGAAAATGGGACTACCTTTTCAAAAGTCCTTTTATTGCCGGGAATTTTCCAGTGGAACGCCCACAAAATGTGTGTGCCATTAACATCCCAACTGAAATTTCCAGAATTTCTTGGTATTAAAATAAAATGGAAAGTGCCCATAGTGCTTTTGCACCTCTTCTTGCTCCAAATACAGTTAGTTCAGTTACCTCTGAAACCTCTTCCTTGTCCTTCCTTGTATCTGAGGCCTCTGAATTCAAACCCTAGATCTGCCTCCACCCCCACCCCACCATCGCGGGAATAAGGAAAATTCTTCCCCATGATCATTTGCCAGCTAAGGATACAGTCACTGTATTGTCCATATGTTGACACGTGTTATTTTTGTGAATGGATTTCTTAAGGAGAAAAATGCTCGTCAGGTTCCAAGTCCCAGGAGTGGAAGATAACCCTTAAATAAAGAAATGCCAACTCGAGTGTTCAATCATCGGTGAATCATATTTATAAAAGTGACGACAGACGTTTAAGCGGGAAAACAGCGTTTCTTAATTAAGCGTTATACTAATTGTTAAGTTTTTGTCCAACCTTTTGACATAAATTTCCAAGTCCTCGAATCTTGAACGATGCCACTGGTTGTACATTCTCAAGTTTTAAGTATACTGGAAATCCTGCTATTTTTGTCATGGGATGACTTTCTAACACCGGTGTTTTAATGTGCAGGGGCTCCATCATGCCGCGTCCTGTTGCGTAAGGTCTCTAGTTTGTCAATGAAAGCTTGTCGTGACAGCCGTGTCACGCAGGGATAACCCGAGGGAAGCTGGGTACTAGCACCTTTTTTTTGCAGTTTTGAGGAGGTGGGAAAAATATTAAAAGAGAAGAAATAGGGAAAGAGCAGCGATCTCAGGCTACTTTGTTCCTGACCACATATCAACTCAATTTTGGTATACCACTCTTACCAGTTGTACAGTATGTTTATCAGTATTGCGTGGATTGAAAATCTGTTGTACAGGCATAAATAGAACTTTATTCAAACTCGAAGTTATCTGTGAGTAGCTACATATTAATTTCGAGATACGCATTTCTAGTCTGAGCTGGAGAGAAGATCATTGAACACAATGGCCCTGAATAACCGTTTGAAGCCTGAGGAGAGTTTATGAGCATGCAGTTCTTGATCAGCGGAAGAGCGGGAAAGTTATTAGTCATGCGCACTAAAGCCTTTACGCATGCGCTTTAACAGGGGACTAATTCTGTTCTGTTTTTCGTGGGTTGGAGAAGGTTTTCTCGCAGTTAAAAGGGAATTTTTGCAATAATATTCTTCTTTTGTCAAGCTTACTTACATTTTCTCTAAACACGACGTCTCAGCTACGAGTGGGTTGAGTTGGAAGTTATTTTGATGGCTAGGAGCTGAGAAAATGCCCTTCATCTAAAGACAACTGCAGGGCGGCAATTTGTTCGAAGTGTTCCCTTTGGTTGGAATTTCAGATATCGTGAAAAAACAAGCATCTCTTGTTCGGTTTATTCAACAAGTGTATCGGTCTAAGGGGTGCTTTAAAAGAAGGAAAAATGGACTACGACCATTTGGACCCCGAGGGAAGCTTGATGGACGTGCGTAGAATATCGATAGTTTCTTTCAACCTTCGTCGTTTCCTTGAGATATTTCTTTGGTTTTCTTCCACTAATTGTTTACTTTTTACCCCGTATCGTTTTCTCGATCATTTACAGCGGATTCAAGCCCTGATCCAGCCTCCTCAGTCTGATGAGTCGGGAAAGAGGGTGAAGAAAGTTGATAAAGAAGCTCGAAAGCAAGGCAGGTCTGTTAACAACGACAACTGTGATAGCTGTGGCGAAGGAGGTGATTTGCTCTGCTGTGACCGATGTCCGTGTGCTTTTCACCTTACATGTTGGTACGTTCCTTTAGATTATTAAATATACACGAAGAAAAAAGTTATTAGAATACCTGAAATTTAAGTGCTTTTAAATTTTGCCTTTTGCTACCACTGACACAAGTGCCCTGTTCACTCTCCTCATGGAAAGCCCTAATTTCTCAAGGTTTAATCACCCGCCCGCACTGACAGCTTCTATGAATTAATTCTTTTCTTGAAGCTGTGGTTGAAACCTTGTTGGACGAGGCGCGTTTTAATCCACAAGGTTATCTTTTTCTCTTTAACAGTTTGGTTCTTTTTCTCCCACCTTTTAGCTTCTGATTGTGAAAACATATGATGTTTTGTGTACTTCATATTTGTTCAAATTTTACTTCATCTGTAACTAACGGAACTGTTTGATTGATCTCTTTTAGTGATTTTTGTTGTGGCCTCTTTTCTCGATGTGTTTTTTATTTTAAAATCAAAACTTTTGTGTTACTTTTGTCAGATTTTTTCCAAGGGAAACTTACCTTTCTTATTAAACGAAACACTGCTTGGGAAGTCTTTTGTAATTATAGTCCAAAAAAGATACCAACATACTCTGTATTCCATGTTTTTATGTAAGAATCCTGTCTGGTTTTCTTGTAAAAAGTTGTTCAATGTATTCATTGCATGTTAGTTGTGGATTTTGTTTATTGTCCAAAATAGCTGTGCTGTGCATAATACTTAAATACAGTTTGGCAAATGTGAAAACAGGAAGCTCTAAAATATTCTTTGTCAATAGGACTGTTACACTATGATATCATTTTATTATCACTACCAGAATCCTTCAATTTGTTGTTTTCTAGTGCAAATTAGGGCTATTGTTGTTTAATCTTCAGCAGGATTGATAAATTTCAGTGAAAAAGCAAAAACCAAATAAATTCTGGTAGTTGTAGTCAAATGTTGTCATTGTAAAAATAGTCTATTAACAGTTTGTATATGAAGGGGTAAAATTTCCATACACCCTCATCTGTTGCTTACCTGTGGTAGACTCTTGTACTGTTCCTTATTAACAAAAACATAAACACCAAGAGTTTGACTCAGAGCTTGTCTGATAATTAAAATACTGGCATAGAATGCAGGCCCACTCATTGGTATGATGTGAAGAATAAAGCATATGGAAGCAAAGTGGCATTCAAAGATCTAGTCAAATATATGTGGAGTTTTTATGAATTTCTTGAATTTGACTGTCTTTTATCTGTTCTAACCAGTTTGGGGGTAAAAATCTCTTGAAGCTGTAGTTTCTCGTGATTAATTTTTCAGTGATCCTCCACTAGAAGAAGATGATATTCCTGATGGAGAATGGCTTTGTAATGAATGTAAAGCAAAGCCTTTTCAGGTAGGTCACTGTTACGCTAGTGTCTTTCCATTGGAA